GCCAAAAATTTTATGTTATATTGTAGATTGATCTATATGTTATCCATTCTATGTGTTAGACTTACGATAAAAGTAAAGGTGGGGATACCAGAGAGCTTCAAAGTAGGATAGTACCCCCCCAAAAAACTGGGTCGAGTCACCTTAAGTGGTACCCTTGAAATAAAGATACCTTAAGCCATGTGCAGTACCAATCCATCAGATCTAGCCCTCATAGAGACAAAGGAAGGAGTTACCTAAGTAATGGTAGAGGGATCATTTAGGCCGTTTTGGTGTCTAGTAAGTGTCTAGCAAGGTCTAGTATAGCTAGGTCTAGTCAATGACGTCACCTCATTAGTAAAACATATGTGTCTAGTAAGTGTCTAGTCGCTAATTACTAATACTAATTTAGGGCCTTCCTCCATACCAATAAGTGTCTTCTTCTCAGCCTAGTTCCTAGCCGTTCTCGGCTAGGTCAATCCTGGACTCTACAGTGAGCTGCGACGTCACTGAGAGATACTCGCTCGCTCTTTCCCAGACTTCGCGCGGACAACAGGGTAAGAGAGAACGCCTAGGGACTAGGCTGTCTTCTTCCATATCTAATGAGCGTCTTTCTTATACAATGGGAACAATAGGCTTGCCTAGGTCTGCCCCGTAAGTAACTTGATCCCAGTTTGTCGGACCGTCCATTAAAACCCAGAGTAGTCAATCGATAAAAATCGGTATCGATTTGACAATTGATAAATCGATAAAAATCGGTAAATCTGATTTGATTGATATCGATTGTATCGATCAATCGGTAGAAATCGATGACACACTCGTTTTGTTTATCGATTTATCTCGATTTTTACCAATTTCATCGATTTATATCGGAAGAAACATATATCATCTGTTCATAAAAAAATTAAAACTGATTTCCTGCAAACAGTAAATTTATTGACAATTGAGTGGCAATTGAGAGTTAAAGGATCAAACATTTATCAGTATAAATGTCATCATTTATTAAAAAAACCTTTAAAAAATCTTATCTTTTCTTTTAGACCAAGTTTAAAATCTTCTTGTAAGAGCTGATATTAACCAGGTCTGTAGGCGCCCAGTTTTTCAGGATTTAGATCTGCCATTCTTTCAAAATAACGTCGGTGTAGATTCGGGTGCAGTTACATCCCGGAGGACCCAGAGTAGTCAATAGATAAAAATCGAAATCGATAAAAATCATTAGCAATCAAGTGATTTTAATCGATTGATATCAGAAAACAGTGAAAATCTATCGAGGAAAATCTTTCCGCCTGAATGTCGACTCGAAGAATGTCTGAAATTTAGGCTAGGAAATCTTTATCTAACGATGTATTTCTCGTGATACTTGCCTGCGAGAATTAAATGTAATTAAACCGAACCGTTTTTGTTATTATGTACAAAATAAAGGGTTTTAGAGAGAAAGGTATGTGTAATATAGTTTCCACATTTCTCATTTCATGTTCTTTTGATCAGTTGTTACTCGTGGATGTGTTTTCTTAGCTGTACATTTAACTCATGCCAAAAAACAACAATGGCGGACTTCCATTATAAATCGTTCTGAAACCATGAAAAATCGGTAATATCGATTTGATACAGCAATCCAGTTTAACAATTTTCACTGATTTCCGTTATCAATCGATAAAAATCACTTGATTGCTACCGATTTTTATCGATTCACTACTCTGGGATTAAAAAAGTAGGAATAAGAGGAGCGGTCGGCTAGCAACGCGAGAAACGGCTTATGCCCGGGGGGGGGGGTACTTGGGTTAAGTTTTGCTTGGTATGTGCCGCTGGCCTCTCAGAGCCCATACCCCATTATAGTCTATTCTGTGGCCAATTATAGACTCCATCTTAGTCACTTTTGGGCAAATACGTAATTTTCGCGATCCCAACTTAGTCACTTTGCATTTATGTAACTACCCTATATTGAATGAAGAACACCTTACTTTTCACCTACAGTACAAACATTCTGGTACGTTTACTAACCGTAAATATGAATAACTGTCTTACCCAAAAATCAGAATATGTGCGACCCCATTCTAGTAACTCTGTTGAAAATGCGACCCCATTATAGTCAATCCAGTCGTGAAAATGTGACCCCATCGAGCGGCACATCCCCATCAGCCTCTTATAAGGAAGTCCTCCCTCCCCTCCCCCCCGAAGGCTTATGTCTCCTATTTAGCCCTAGAAAACGGACATAAACAAAACACACACTCAAAAAGTGGAGCTGAAAACTCTATATTTCAATTCAGTGACTCGCTATAATTATATCTTGAGGATTGAGGAGAAGACTAATTATTGAGGTCTCAGCGCTTTGTGAATTTATTAGGGACCTTAAGATCCGACGACGGCGACGGCAACGGGAACGCCACAAAAGCAATAGGTTTAATTAGCAAAACATTTTTGTACATTTCTTTGCCGTCACTGCAGGACTACGACGTGAAAATACCTAATTTCACGATGCACAGAGCACATGCAGAGGAAGTACACAAGCGACGACGAAATTCCCTCTCTCTTTCGGAACTTGGATATGGTTCTTAGGAAATCAAATTTAGGAGGGTTCGCCTACATTTGACAAAGTTAGTGACTTGGACTAATCGTGATAAGATTGAAAGAACGCGAATTCACTTTTTCAGAGACGTTTTCTCTGCCGTAGCCGTCCTCGGATCTTAAGGTCCCTATTATCTTGTTTCATTCGCCTTTAGTCAGTTAATTATGCGAGTTAACAAGCCCACATTTGCGTAAAAATTGGTTCAGCTCTAAAGTACCAACCCCAAGGGAGAACCTTGACTTAATATTATAAAAACAAAAAATCCATTAATACCTAAGGAGGATTAATTGAAACACGCAACTAATAAATGGTCGCAATAATAAAATCAGATACGTTTCCTTTAACGACACAAGAAATCATCTTTAAGACCCTTTAATAACTGCAAAAATAAAATACTCAGTGATTTTAAAGAAATCTATTAAGTAAACCAAAAAAGCAAATCTAGCTCTTTTTTTTTACACAATGTATAATTTTTGACTTACCCCACCCCTCCAAATTTTTTTGGTTTTCATTAGTTTCCCTCCTCCTCCTCATACGTTATGCAGAGTTGATACCCTCTCAGGTATACGCTTTTAGTATTTTGGAATACTAAGATTGCTATAATTTTGCTAGAGTTTAGTTTATGACAAGTTATACGACAACTTTTAGCAAGGTGCTTTTCTGACGGTTGTTTTGATAGGCGACTCTTGGGAATCTCAGCTTCGACCCATTTAGCTCTTGACGTGAAATCGACACCAGATCGTGAAACGGTTCTCTTCGTTTTTGCTCAGAAACAGACAGACATTCCGACGATTAAACTATATGGCGTTTGTATACTTTCTGAAGTCTATTAAACAATATATAAATGGACATGCAGCGAATCAGATTTTTTTCGGCATACCTGAATTTCATTCGATATTCACACAGATCTACTCTTAAAAAGGTCAGAGATCGTCTAAAAGCTCAACAGGACTTGCTTGTATTTGATCTCCTGCCTTGTAAAAATGTAATGGGTTATGCGTATGAATGTGGTAAATAAATAAAGGCACTTCTTCTTCTCGTAAATGTATTTCTAAGACCTGTCCTGCTTATTGTCTACCTCCTTGTAGCTTTAAAGAATATGCTATGAAAAAAGACGAAACAGAAGTCAAGAAAGAATGATACGACGATAAAAAACCTTTCTTCATACATCAAGGATCGGGACCTTCAAGAAGCGAAAAGACTTGCTATATTAGAACTTTAAAAGATAAAAAATGACAGAGGGAATATTAAAAAATATAGATGACCTCGAAACGCATCTTAAAAAAGCCAAAACGAATAACAACAGAAAAGAGGAAGGAAATACTTATAAAAGCCTCGGCAACGCTTATTTCTCCCTTAGCGACTTCCAAAGAGCAATATATTACCACGACAAACACCTGAGCATTGCCCAGGAAGTCGGCGACAGGGCCGGAGAAGGAAGTGCCTATGGCAATCTCGGCATTGCTTATCACTCTCTCGGAAAATTCCAAGAAGCAATAAATTACCACAACCAAGACCTGACCATTGCCCAGGAAGTCGGCGACAGGGCCGGAGAAGGACGTGCCTATTGCAATCTCGGCATTGCTTATCACTCCCTCGGCAAATTCCAAGAAGCAATAAATTACCACAACCAAGACCTGACCATTGCCCAGGAAGTCGACGACAGGGCCGGAGAAGGACGTGCCTATTGCAATCTCGGCATTGCTTATCACTCCCTCGGCAAATTCCAAGAAGCAATAAATTACCACAACCAAGACCTGACCATTGCCCAGGAAGTCGACGACAGGGCCGGAGAAGGACGTGCCTATTGCAATCTCGGCATTGCTTATCACTCCCTCGGCAAATTCCAAGAAGCAATAAATTACCACAACCAAGACCTGACCATTGCCCAGGAAGTCGACGACAGGGCCGGAGAAGGACGTGCCTATTGCAATCTCGGCAATGCTTATCACTCCCTCGGCAAATTCCAAGAAGCAATAAATTACCACAACCAACATATGAGGATCGTCCAGGGAGTCGGCGACAGGGCCGGAGAAGGACGTGCTTATTGCAATCTCGGCAATGCTTATCACTCCCTTGGAAAATTCCAAGAAGCAATAAATTACCACAACCAACACCTGAGCATTGCCCAGGAAGTCGGCGACAGGGCCGGAGAAGGACGTGCTTATGGCAATCTCGGCAATGCTTATCACTCCCTCGGCAAATTCCAAGAAGCAATAAATTACCACAACCAAGACCTGACCATTGCCCAGGAAGTCGGCGACAGGGCCGGAGAAGGACGTGCCTATTGCAATCTCGGCAATGCTTATCACTCCCTCGGCAAATTCCAAGAAGCAATAAATTACCACAACCAAGACCTGGCTATTGCCCAGGAAGTCGGCGACAGGGCCGGAGAAGGACGTGCTTATGGCAATCTCGGCAATGCTTATCACTCCATCGGTAAATTCCAAGAAGCAATAAATTACCACAACCAAGACCTGACCATTGCCCAGGAAGTCGGCGACAGGGCCGGAGAAGGACGTGCCTATGGTAATCTCGGCAATGCTTATCACTCCATCGGCAAATTCCAAGAAGCAATAAATTACCACAACCAAGACCTGACCATTGCCCAGGAAGTCGGCGACAGGGCCGGAGAAGGACGTGCCTATTGCAATCTCGGCAATGCTTATCACTCCCTCGGCAAATTCCAAGAAGCAATAAATTACCACAACCAAGACCTGACCATTGCCCAGGAAGTCGGCGACAGGGCCGGAGAAGGACGTGCTTATGGCAATCTCGGCAATGCTTATCACTCCCTCGGCAAATTCCAAGAAGCAATAAATTACCACAACCAAGACCTGACCATTGCCCAGGAAGTCGGCGACAGGGCCGGAGAAGGACGTGCCTATTGCAATCTCGGCAATGCTTATCACTCCCTCGGCAAATTCCAAGAAGCAATAAATTACCACAACCAACACCTGATCGTTGCCCAGGAAGTCGGCGACAGGGCTGGAGAAGGACGTGCTTATGGCAATCTCGGCAATGCTTATCACTCACTCGGTAAATTTCAAGAAGCAATAAATTACCACAACCAAGACCTGAGCATTGCCCATGAAGTCGGCGACAAGGCCGGAGAAGGACGTGCCTATGGCAATCTCGGCAATGCTTACTACTGCCTCGACAACTTCCAGCAAGCATCGGTGTATTACAACCAAAACCTGAGCATTGTAAAGAAAGTCCGTGACAGGAAAGGAGAAGGAGGTGCCTATGGCAATCTGGGCAAGGTTCACTACTCTCTCAAAAACTTTCAACAAGCAATAGAGTATCAAAATAAATTCCTGAACATTGCCAAGGAAGTCGGCGACAGAAAAGGAGAAGGACTTGCCTATTGCTATCTCGGCATGGCTTATTTGTCCCTTGACGAGTTTCAACAAGCAATAGATTACTTAAGGCAATTTCTGAGCATTGCCGAGGAAGTCGGTAACAAGTTCTTTGAAGGAGACGCATATTGCAGGCTGGGTAGTTGTCTTTTAGAGTTAGGTTGTTGGGATGAAGCTTTATTTCATTTTATCACCAGCGTAGAAATCCTTGACGCTATCAGGGCTAGTTGCATTTTTGAAGATGCATTGAAAATAAGTTTTCGTAATCTTTATAATTGTGCCTACACTTGTTTATGGCAAATTCTAATAATACTTCAATTGACAGATGAGGCTTTGTACGCTGCAGAGAAGGGACGAGCACAGGCCTTAGCAGATGCGTTAAAAATAAATTATGGCTTAACATCACCTTCGCTCAAGTCAAATGAATCTGAAGAAGAACTCACAATTATTTTAAAGAAGATATCAGTTTCGACAGTTTTTCTGGCAGTTCAAAAAGAAACGGTCAATATGTGGGTCCTGAGGAAGGAAAGGAAAGCTATTTTTAGGCAAGCGGAGCTTAAAGTTGAAAGTGCGCACGAAGATTATTCTGCTGTACTTTTAGAAACTACCTTGAAAAACCTTTGGGCTGGCGTCGATGTTCGGTGCGAGAATCGGTCATTGGGTGAGCGAAAGGATAACCAAACTTCCAGTACTGAAAAGGATGATCAAACATCGGAGCTGTCGCACGAGACTATCGACTGTTTTAAGCCATTGTATGATGCAGTCATTGGTCCCATTGAAGACTTGCTTGATGGTGATGAACTCATTGTAGTCCCTGATGGCGCTTTGTCCTTAGCTCCTTGGGCCGCGCTAAGTGGACCTTTAAGGATCCGCACAGTTCCCTCACTGACAAGTCTGAAATTGATCATAGATTCTCCAGATGAATACCACCGTAAAAGTGGCGCCCTACTTGTTGGAGATCCATGTCTGAAGAAAGTTACAAATAAAGGGGGTTATCCTATTTATGATCAGCTGGAATACGCAAAAAAGGAAGTGGAGATGATTGGAGAAATTCTTAAGTGCCAACCACTGACGGGAGAAGCAGCGACCAAAAAAGAAGTTCTTCGCAGAATAAATTCAGTTGCCTTGGTTCACATTGCAGCACACGGAAGTAAAGAAACTGGTGAAATTGCTTTGGCTCCAGACCCTTGCTGGGAATCCCAGATTCCTGAGGAGGAATATTTTTTGAGAATGTCTGATATACAAGCTGTTAAACTGAGAGCCAGGCTGGTTGTCCTTAGTTGCAATCATAGTGGTCAAGGAGAGGTCTCGTCTGAGGGTGTGGTCGGTATTGCTCGGGCTTTCTTGTTTGCTGGTGCTCGTTCCGTGGTGGCGACACTCTGGCCAATTAATGACGAAACAACCCTGGGGTTTATGAAAAGTTTTTACCAACACCTGAGGGGTGGAGAAAGTGCTAGTTCTGCTCTTCAGAGAGCCATGAAATGTCTCCGGGACTCGGACAAGTTTTCTGCCCCAAAGTACTGGGCTCCATTTGTACTGATTGGTGATGACGTTACGATTGAATTTGATGAAAGTAACCGCGAAAGTCGTAAGTAGAAGAAGTTTTTCTTTTGTAAATTTTTGATTTTCATTATCTTGAATCCCAAAAACATAAGTTGTAAAAATAAGAATCAAAAAGCATCTTTTACAAAAATTTAAGATAATTGGCAGTTTCGTTTGTAACTAGGAAAGCAAGAGCAAATCTTGAAAAATAAGAATGCAATGGGTGGCTACTGTTCGATTGCTATGGATTCACTCAATACGACTCTATGCGTTACAAACTGTTAACAAATTAATAAAACATAGAAGACACACTTCAATGTTCTTAAAAGAATCTGATCACTCACTTTGCATTGCTGACCTATGTTATTGTTATCCTGAGAGAAGATTATAATACATTCCGTTATTGGGTCAAAGATGACAATTCAAGACATCAGCGAGAGAAAATAGCTCCAATATTTCACAAATGCCAGTTACAAAGAAAAGTGAAAGACAGTGAAAAAAGTTTTGTGGACAATAGGGAGCCTCAATGCAAATACCGTAAACTGCCACACTGAGCCCCTCCCCACCCCAACCCCCCAGTTATATGACCATCTGCTTGTAAACATAAAAATACATCGATTATAAGCCCCCTTCAAATGTGTGGAACTGAATTTGATTTATTATGGCGTTTTGAACCTTAATTAAAGACAACAAAGCCTCTCCGTTCTATATGATCTTCTAACTGGCCCCTTGTGAAGATGGCTACTTCAACCTATTTAGCGGCGAAGTGCATAAAAGATGATAATCAAACAACTGTCTTCGTTTTTCGGTTGGTAGATTTGGAGGTCAGCTGTTTTTAATAAAAGAGATTGCTTATACATCTTTGGACAGCTGTATGGACGCTAAAGGTTTTGTTATGAGCTCCACTCAAAGTTTGATTTTACTCTGTACAAGGCTCCTATTTTATTTTATCGAGAATGGGAAATAAAATGATTTATCAGTTGGATGACTCATGAAAACATCATGAAAATGGTCTCGGTTAATCTATAAGCGTTCAAATTTTGTCTTGTTTTGCTGTCAAGTTTCAAATTCATTTCGTCCTTGACATCGTGCACTAATTGAAGGCGTTATTTTTCTGAAGTGCATTAATGCAGTATATGTTATTTTCTTCAGTTACAGGGGACGCTGATATGTGATGTCAGAAAACTTCTGAGAGAGTGTCTGTGTTTGCACATACAAAAAAGGCTTCCCGTTTAAGAGACTGTGGGATACCAAAAACATTTTTTTTGCCGGATGGAATTTTACTATCGATAGGCCATTTTCAAAATAATGTCATTTTACTACTACGGGCTAGAATCCTTCAGGGTTTTGCCCTGTTGGCAAATTAGGGCTTTTGTTGTTTAAACCTCGCTAGGATTACTAAGAATGACTATGAAAGGGAAAACAATAGGATTCTGGTCGAAGTAATAAAATCATGTCATCGTGTAAATGGCCTATTTTGATTAATATTTAATAACAGTAGAATATATAGAGGATATTACACGGTGGCGAGAAGATATGAATTTTATGTTCTTGCCACGAGAACATAAAATTCATATCTTCGAGCTAACGTGTAATGTTCTTTTTATTATATGGAGAAACCAATTCAACAAAAGCAAAAGGCGGGAATCGTGACGTCATTGAACGATACGACACTCACAAAGGTGACATACGGAAAATACGCCACTCGGGTCCCGGATGAAGTGGCGTATGGAATCTACGAGTGGTTTAGTTCCCAGTAAAACACTCTCCTCCATATAATAAGAGACCATAAAAGCCTTTTTCAACTTAAAAAAAGGGTTTAGTGTAACCACAACAACTTAAGACTGATGGAACGAAGCAGCATTTAATGAATACGTAAACAGCAGTTTTTGATATGTGCTGCTTTTCGTCTCATGTAAGGGAATCCAAGACAGTCTTGGTTTCTAGCTTCCACGCCGTGGATTCCTGATTCCAGACGCTTGATTCCAGTTTTTTCTAGTGGAACCTTGGATTGGATTCCAATCCTTAGTAGGATTCCGGATTCTTTGAGCTGTATTCCGCATTCCAAAGCCCAGGATTCCAGATTCCACAAGCAAAAATTTTACGGATTCCAGAACCCGGATTCCCTCACATGGGCCCATGCTTTTGTTAACATTTTGTTATATATCGTCAATAATCGTTTGACCCCAATGAAAGAGTCATGTTGATCATAATCAACAGTAGATGAATAAGAGAGTGTATAGTCGTGAAAAGGACTATTGATGACAGTGACTGAGCGTCAAAGTGAATTGTATATTGACCTATATTGTCCAACTCTGGCCCTGATTTATCAATAAAGTCGTGATGTCATTGGTCGCCAGTCAATGACACCAAAATACTATTGTTCCAGAAGACTCTAAGTTCGAGTGGTGAGTTTCGATCCGATCCGTCGTTTTTCACTTTGACATCTGTCACTTTATAGTTAGTCCAACTTTCGGGTTTTGTTCAGTCAGTTTGTTCAATTTTTGACTTTAGATTAATGTTTGTCTTTGTAATGTTTTATTGGAAAGCATAAGATAAGCTAAGATAGTCAGTCCAAACTAAGGATGGAAGGTATACGAAAACAAGTTTTTTTTTTCTTTTTAAAAGTCTAACCAACAGCGTTAAATATGCACTGGACACGCGGCATAACTTTTTAAGGCCATGCCCACACTAATTTGTTATCAAAACTGATCAAAACGGCTCCGATTTTGGCGATCACGAAAACGGCAACGAAACCATGGATGTCCCTACTAGCGTTTAAGTTTCGTTTTCTACAGTCACTACTAAACATATATATACATCTGGAGACAAATGTTTTCGCTCCAAGGGTATTCTAAAAGGCGTGTTAAGCTGTGAAGTCAGCGCATTCGTAAACCTCCGTTCTTGCTCTTTATACTTACATAGCCGTTGACCTCCATTTTGAAAAGTCTCCACCTTTGAGGCCGTTTTATGAACACATCGGCTTTTTTAATCGTTTTAGTGTGGACGAAAAGCCAAAACGCATTAAAGGTAGGCGTTTCCAAACAATTATGCACTAGTGGGAAGCCGCCATAGATTATTTAGTGAATCAGTAAATCGAGCGCAAATTATTCGTGTACTACGACGTGAGTGCAGTATGATTTTTAATTGTTGATAACCCATGTATCAGAGCTGTGGTTCAGAATAGTTACATTACCTTTATCGTGCCATTAACTTAATGCCAATTGTAATTGTTGTTTTACTGAGTTATCAAACAGGCTGTTATCAAACAGATAAGTTTCAGATCGCTTGTCCACAACGCGCTGTGGTTTGGTACTAAGAAACAACAGCAATCGTTCAACTATGGCTGCTTTAAAATCGGACGGGTGTTTTGTTTCCTGTACCATCGAGGTTTTCCAGGCTATAGATTTAAAGCATATCCTCGGGTATTCATATCACGTCACCTTAGGACGTAACTGCTTTTAGCTGCTTAGGCTTAATCCCAGCGCGTTGCGTAGCATAGTGATCAGGTTTTTGATGTTACAGTGTACCCATAGCTTAGTAATGTTGTATTAATTTTAACCTGAATAAAAGGAGAAGTTAATTGCAATTGCTGATCTCAATGATTTCCAAAAACATTTCAAAAAGACACTTATCCTTTACACTTCCTCGACAGAGGCCCTGAAGGCATCGTAGATTAGGGATGGTTTTTTCCTTTTAGTTTGTCGCCAATTCTCACCCTGGGTACCAGCTTAGTAGCAAGTAGCTTATTTAACTTTTTTTTTTCCAGAAAGAATTGTGGTAATTTTGAGTGCTATAAGGAAAATGCATTCACTAGTAATAGCTATCGCTAAGTGCCAACCAGCAAATATTTTTCCTATATGCGCGCGCTGTTCAACCGTTCTCGACTGCATAAAGAATATGAAATCCCGACTTTACATAGCATAGTTTTTGAGTTATTGAAGTTCGTGTTTTTGTCCGAAGTTGCGCACAGATCATTTTGCGTAAAATTTAGTGGTCTTTTAAGCGAACTCAGAATCCTCGAAAAATCACAATGCAAATACGAACTGATTTCGTACACTAAAAGGTCAAGCAACCCTGTCAGCTCAAGACAAACCTGTTCAAATCTGTTCAGAACTTAAGGACTTTAATATCAGCCTGAGTGGATCCTTTTTTTAAAAAAAGAAAAGAAAATAAAAAAGGAAAAAATATCTTATCTTTGCTTCTTGAAGATCGAAGGAGACTCTGTTCGCAGGATAGGCTCCATGTCAAAGTCACACTCATTCACTACGTAGTTTCACTACTCTTTCCTCCTGTTGTAGCGTCAGCCGAGTACACGTGTACTCTAAGGTCTGTTTTAAATATATCGCGTGTTGCCTGTGCGATAATTCGTTTACCGAATTTCCGGAACAGGAAATGAATAAATAACAAAGCCCGTAAGCTTACAGCATAAATTAACCTGAGGCTACGCCCGCATTTAATAGTCTGTTCAGGAGTTCACAGTAGACAAGCTTTTGAGCGACGCAAGTCAACCGGAAGTACACCTTTTGCATTCTTGGGCAGTGGATTTGCTTAAAATTTTGGACAAATCGTCTGTATGAGAGAAAACGCCCTTGGCATTTCAAACTTGGCAGCGTCAAAGCATGTTAAAGAAAATAAATCTCACTTCCGGTTGACGTGCGTCACTCAAAACGCCCTCGCTTAAAAGCTCCCTCATAGCGTCCGTCTACACGCGACTGATCGTAAATGGATATTCTTGTACAGTGTAAACAGTCGTATTTGTGGACAGTTTGAACCCTTTCGTGATTTCTTTTTAGAACCATGCTCAAGCCATAGACCAAACGTGTCCTTCTGGAATTGAAACAGTGTTACGCAAGGTATCTTCGGCCTGGTCAGGAGCCGATATTCGGCTCCTGGCTTGGTCCATCCCTACCAGATTTTGATTTCTCGAAATCTGCCATAATAGTGCATTTTTTGGCCACCACCGAAATCCCCAGTTCCCTCGCATTATGTTGGTACTCAGTTCCACAACTACATGAACACTTAAATAAAAATATCTACACTTAGGGTGCGTACGTTTGGGAAAATCCCAATCCGGATTTCCGAATCCAAAAACGGATTTCACGTTTTTTTGGGCAAATCCAAAAACGGATCATGAATCCATAAAATCCACACTCAGGGTGGATTCTTCGGATCAGATACAAATCCGGATTGTTGAGATTCACAATCTGAGCGTTGTTTGGGGAAAGGATTTGAAAAAAGTATTTTTGACAAGCGGTTTTTCGAAAAAAAAAATTGTACGCATCAGATGCCGTATATCTATCACATTCTCACTGAACCTATGTTGTGGGTCCCTATTAACTTTGAGCCATTAGTTACATATTCTATATTTGTTGTCTATTCAAATTATTGGTAGACTGTTTTTAAACCCTTACTGGTCATGTTTTTGGTAGGTATGTAATGTCTGCTTACGCCGGTTTATTTCCAAGTAATTAAAAAAAACACATCATCGGCTTCAGTTTTAAATTCTCATAATTTTACTATCCTAAGGAGTGTGTTCTATTCGAGAAACGTTTGTGTTTCAAACCAAAATATATCCATTTCGTATATTCATTTGTAGCTGATGTTGCTCTTTCTTCTTGTCTTCGCCGTGAGGATCAGTTTGTTGTTGTTTTTTTTTTTCCACGAAGAGTACGAGGACATGCCGTTGTCATGGTAAATGATCCTTTCTCGGATCTTCCATTTTTTTGGTGGTGAAGAATCCGTATGATCTGAGATCACAAATCCGTTTTTTGGGTTCTCTCAGAAAAACGCACCCTTACTGTTGGTTTTATAGTTTGGACAGCAAACGGGTGTTGACCTTTCCCTCGAAATTATTTTTGGACTCGCCCCAAATCTCTGTCAGTTTCAACGTCTAAGATGCTGGGAAAATGGTATTATCGTTCGCGCAGCAAATACGCCTTCCTTGCAGGCTAATTGACAGCACGTCACGAAAACTTCTTCTTTTGGTGCATAAAATCGGGCATGACGCAATGGAACTAAGGTCGGTCAACTTTTCACTTTTGTTATAAACACATTTTACATTTCTTACACGTGCGTCGAATGTGGTAAAGAAGTGATGTCTTATTTTGCAAGTAGTTCAAGTTATTCGAACACATTCCTAGTCTCGACATTTACAATTTCTCAAAAACACTGTTTTAAAAATGCAAATGGTACGTTGCATCCGGCGTCCCACGCATCGTCTAGACCAGCAGCACCAGGCGCCATTCTTGACACCCTTCCCTGCGGAGTAAACGTGTTTCTCTTCTCAATTGTTTTGAGTTTCTACTGGGTTCTAATTGTTTCGGGAAGGCTAGAGGGGAGACTTGACTTTCTCCCAACGGTCTATTGAGAAATTAAAACAAATAATATTGTGAAAACAAAAGGGTACTTTATTGATAATTTAAGACATCCAAAACGTCCTATAAGAAAGCACTGCTTCTTCTACGCACACGGGCGTGCAAGTAGATTAACCGTATCCAAAATTGCACAACGGATTATGGCTGCGGGGGGAAGATGATAAAGAGTGTAGGGTGGGGTAAGGTTTACGAAAGCGCTGCTTTAACCCGTCACCTCCCCATTGTAAGTGTTCGAGTCACACCCGATTCTCTCCACCACACCCATGGCCGCGATAAGAGGGGATTCGGTTATTTCAGCACAAGGTTCTAACGCCGGTGGGATTTTGTGTTCACTACTGCCGTTTTCTAAAGAGTTTTTCTCTTTTTTCTCCTTCCCAAGGTTCGAGTCGGATGAGAGCAACTGGCTGATAGAGAATGCCGAAGGCGCGCTCGCTACAGGTTTAGTGGGAAAAGTACTAGTAACCGGAACGGGGACGGGAGCGCTAAGCAGTATCCTTTCTTCCTCAACGCTCTCTTCGCTTTGCGAGGCGGGGGATGTCCTATCGCCTTCCTCGCCGCCTGTCCCAGATTCAACACCGCTGGTCCATACTTCCGCTTTCGCTTGCTGAAATTGCGCTTGCGATGGCGCATGCTCCTCTTGTTCCTCGGACTTAAGACTGACCGGTGAATTTTGCTGGCGCATTTCAGCAAGCAAACCTTCACTTGTCTTTAGTTTGTCTTCATAAACAAGCAATTTCTCTTGTGATTGAGTCAATTGCTGTTTGCAGTCTTTGAGTTGATGCTGAAGCGTTAAGATGGTTGACTGCATGCCTTCAACTTCCTCGTCTAGTTGGATAACGAAGTCGTTCAACTCTAAAACGGGATAATAAATAAACGGGATAGTAACTTAAATTTTAACAATCAGAAATTTTAATTTCAGTAATTTTACACAGGAATCAATATCAGATACATGTAGATGCCAAAGGAATAGCCAGCGACCATTTTGTTGTCCATACCATCATTGGTACGACTTCGGCCCAACTGTGCTTAGTACCGTCACTCCAACAAGCCACGGTACACCTCTCTTTTCAGGACAATCAAGACTCTACAAACACGTGTTAACAACCCCATATGCTCACTCACTAAAATAAACTGCATATCACACCTCGAAGAGTAAAAAAAGGTCCCAGGCATCAACAAATCTGTAAAAAACCTTGGTTACCGCTAGTCTGAGAGCAAGCACGACTCTCGCGATTTCCAGTCGTAGAGCTTGCTTGCAGGCTACAATCGGGGAAAGAATAGTTAAGAAACTTTGCCATAAAGACGCTTTGTGACGTTTTGCACTTAAAAAGTAGCCAGCGTGGCAGGCGTTCGAAGGGGAAGGGAAAGTGAGAAATGAATCTTTCCTTACCCCACCCCCTCCAAGCACTGTTAGGCCTCTTTACCAGCTACCAGTAAGAAACAACAAACACCACTGACAACTTGAAATGGAGGGGGGAGTGGAGAGGTGCAGATGTCTTGCTCTCCGAAGTACCCCATTTGAGGATAGTCTCAACAATTTTGTCGGCGATTGCAAGTCACCCAAGACAGACATAAATAAAGTAGCGTGGTCATTCAGCACTTGCCCACCGGCCACAGAACAAGTTGACTTTAACATAGCAATACAAAGAAGTCAAACGAATGCATAGTTGAACGGAACCAGGTAAACTTGAAACTTTCTCCCCTGAAGTTAAACTAACATCAGTTTCCATGTAATTGTGATTTGTTCACAATGCACGTCACAAAGCCGTGATTTAAGTAAGAGCTTGTTACTCCCTAAAACAAACAGACCCAGACCCTAGAAGTGTACCAGTCAGAAAACAATTCACTCTCATTCTTGTTAACTCAATTTAGCACAGTAGCTAGCTTCGCAGTATTGTCAGCCTTACCATCTTGACTGCCTTTCAGTTCATCGCTGTATTTTTTCTGAAGAGCAAGTTCAGCTTCCAGTTGAGCGACTCGTCCTTGCGACAACTGACGACCGAGCTCCTGATTTTCCTGGATTAACATGCGGCATTTCGCCATCAGTTTCTTACCAGTTACACTGTAAAACACAATTCACACAAAACCAGTTAATTTTGTTGCTCAACACTTTCACTCCCAGGACAGGCCAAACTCAAAAATTGACAAACGTCAAAATTTCACGTTTTAGAAATGCGGAAAAACAAACAGCACCATGTAAAAGGACAGCAAAAGTGGTTTCATTTGAATGGTCACACCGTAGGGTTTCTTCCACAAATTCAAAGTCAGTTAGAAATACGTACAAAACAAGTAGAAACCACGCGGAAAGTAGTGCAAATGATGTTTCCTTTGAATGGTCAGACTGGAGTATTTAATTTATATGCTCATAAGTTAAAACCTCCTTCAATACTCCATCACTCACTGTAGGAGCGAAAAGGTTAAATAGAGGCTTCAGGTTAAGGCTCCATTACCAACCGCTGTTCGGGAAATGAGCCCGTGCTCCTCCCTCGAGCCTAGATTCAAGGACGAGGACGACTACGAACGAGGACGAGATTTAACTTCAAGTTTTTTCGTGTATTCTTGTAAACACGACTCCCCAGAAAATTTTTCAATGTACTTTTTTTCAGCGGAAAAGTTAGCACGATTATTAGTTTTTATTGAAGAAGGTTAAGCCCTCTCCCGAAAGCAAAATAACAAACTTCTAACATTTGTGATAACTTGTTTTCGCCACTACGACATTTTTGCTTAACCCCGTAGTAGAATGACGACGGCTACCACGTTTCCCGCCAAAATGACGCTGGTTCACGCGCGCCAACTACTTAGTAATAGAAAGGTTAGCATCACGTTTACGGCAAACGGCAAATGTTAATATTTGTACCACAAGACCAAGATTTCCATTCACCTGTCGTTTACTGTAACTATAACTACATGAAAATCGGTAGATTCGCACCAATTCTATCCATAAGAATTGTTTAAGCTGTTTTTATCTGCTCATTTCTCATTTTGAAAATTTCTCAACTTGAATCTCACGTTTGCTGTTTGCCGTAAACGCGATGCTTAATCTCTCTATTGAAAAAATCTCCTACTCGCAGTCGTTCTCTTGTCTCAGAACCTAAAAGTCTCTTTTATGTACAGGAAGAGCGGTAAGCACACCCGAATGTTAAATGTTACTTCACTTAACTAGTCAACCCCTCCATAACTTACTACTGCTTCTGTAGTTAAAGACGTCGCCAGGACAGATAAAAGTTTGTTTATACCTCTTTTTAAAACGTTTTCACCGCGAACTGAGTACCAGTAAAACAAAAAGTGGGTGAAATGACCGTAATTCCTCATTCACAACTGGCAATAACGCACCGTCCAATTTGATCTTAACTGGTGCAAATAAAAAATGTTCATAAGAGACGGAACGGCTCCGGTAGAAACAAGTGCCGGTTCTCAATGATTACTGGTTGGTTTTACACCTGCAGGTTTTGCCAGTGATTACACCCGAGAAAACACAGCCAAGGTACGTAACGTCCCTGGGGAACAGGTGCAAGACCGTTTACACGTTGTTGTTGTTGTTATTTTTCCAGATCCCACGTACCTAAAGATCGGTACCTTAAAAAGGGCGAGCGTTTACACGTTGGAAAGAAAAGAAAAGAAAACTGCACGTACGGAACCGATCTTAGAGGACAAAATGTGCCCGGCTATGGACTTTTTTAGGAACGAAACGGGTAGCATTCAAACTTGTCTACTTCGCAGCTGTTTTTGTCTCGTCACGCAACGCTCCTCCCCAACAGTTCGAATGTAAGCAGCCATTTCTTGAGGAGGAGCGTTGCGTGACGAGACGAAAACGGCTGCGTGGGAGACTACAATGTAGATTCAAACGTATCGGTTTCGTTCGAGCCGTAACGTTCCGTTTCGCTCGCGTAAACGGGACTTTTCATCCGAATACAATCGGTCCCGTACCGCATTTTTGTTTCCTTTTTTTAATTAATGTGTAAACGCTTGTCCACTCTTCGGTACAGGTCTACAACATTTTTGGGGTGCTGATCTCAAAAGGAGAAAAACGACAACAACAATAACGTGTAAACAAGTACGCAGGACTCCTATTTAGTACGCTGCCTTTTTGTACGTGCAAACAATCCGATGTCGTCGAGGACCGGTTCTTGTTTCCACCTGAGCCTCCAAAAGCGGACAACAGCAGAAAGGTTCCGTGTAAACAAACTGCTCATAAAAAGACCGGTCCCGTGTGAACAGAAGCGGTCCATTTCGGTATCATATCTGATCCACTTGGCACAGAAAAGACTTCGTGTGAACAGAACGTAAGAGGTCAGTACTGTTGTCAGTAAGTCATTCAAGGTTGCACTAAAAAATCAGCAGCATCACCTGTCGGGTGTAAACTTCCAAGCACTGAGATCATTCTGAGCTTGTTCCAATTTCTCCTTTTCAGAGTCCAAGTCTGTTTTCATTCGTTGAAACAACAAATTCACCGCAGGATCCAGCAATGTTGACCGTAGTTGTATTGAAGATGGGTTTTGAGCTTGTTTCAAATCATGAATTTGGGTCTGTCGACAATAAAGAACAAAATGTTGGCGTTGTTGCCTTCCTGTTGGTAGACAGCACGCTGTAACTTACAAGAACTTGAGCGATGTTGACAAACAAAATTTATGACACGTTTGACTCTGATAAATGACGGTTCACCTGTTTAAAGTGGTTATGTCACGGTCTTTGCTATCTTTTCCAAAGCTAAAAAATTAATCACATCAATTGAATTTAAAAATAATGGTCCAGTTTTGTTATTGAAGACAATAGGCACTGAAACTGTTTAGTTCCTGTCGTCTGCCGCTACGAATGGAAAAATGGACATGGTTTGAAGCAAAAATCACCCAAAAGTTATTGTAGTTAGTGCTTGCTGAAATTTGTTCGATATCTTGTTCTTAACTGTACAGGAGCATTTTGTGTATGAGTAAAAGCAATAAGTTATGACTTACACACAGAATTGACCTACAAAATATTCGTGACATGACCCCTTTAAAGACAGCGAGCGACAATGAAAACATTAGAGTCTTTTAGCTTGATTACTAAACCACATTTGGGTCATTTTCGGAAATAATACATCCCAAAGCAAGCTGTGTAAGGATTGAATTGAACCAAAAACGAAACTCAAAGCCTTGTTAAAAGTTAAAAAAAACTCTAAGCCTTGTTGGGAGACAAAATTAATATCGAAAAGCAGTCTACCTTTGAGACGCAAAGTTTTTCCTACACTGTAATTGCAGCAGTGTACCTTTTCTTCTTCTCAGTCTATCGATTTTCTACAGATTTTTATCAGTTTCAATCGGTATGCAAAATATAACAATTTCTGAGCTAATTAGTCACAATCGGAGAAGAAATGTAAAATAGCCTGGTCTGTGAACATGGGAATTAAACAGAAGAGCTGAAGAGGGGGCTGATTGAAACAATCTGCAAATGTTATAATAATTTAGACAACTTACAGAGTCAAGAATCAAGTTTTAGTGAGTCCCACGAAGTACACTGCATCTTTCAGAAGAAACAGTACCTACATTTTCTGAAGATTTACTTTCAACAGAAAAAATTGTTCAGGCATCAATTTAAGCTTGAATGGTAGTACTACATGTAAGGGAAGGGATGTACAGATGGAGTGTCAATTAACATAAATCTTGAAAACCACAACCATAAATTGAAACTGATAGTAATCAAGGAAAATCGATAGTCACAATCCTGATTTCTGACTTTGATTGATTTCCAGTAACAACTGATTTATTGCCAATGATTTTTATCGATTATAACAATTTTGATCATGTAACAAAACCGTGACATGCACATTTTGATGTCACATGTATAGTATTATAGAAAACAATTACAAAATTCTTTATTTCTGTTCAAACAAAACAATAAATTACTGCTTGGGAGCACTGCACTACACTGCAAAATCAAAGACTTCCGAAAATGACCCAAAGACCTCTCGAATTATGCTGGGTGTGGTGGAAGCACTGGGCTCCCCTCAATTTTTCTTAGAGCACAGCCTTGATAAGAGAGGAGAGTGTGATGTCATGTTACCATGGTAGCAAAATTTCTTGATCTCAACAACCTTTCTTCACAGCAACAGCCATTTGCATTGTCAAACGATGGAAGTGAAGCATGGGCTACTGTTTTGCTCCTGAGTGCAATCATACACAGGAAAGTCATACATGTCAATTTTTTTTCTTTTTTTCTCTGCCAGACTTGCAGGACCATAGTTTGTTAAGATCCAGACATTTTGCTACCATGGTAACACAACATGACAACTTCTCCCCTCTACTACAAAGCCTTCAAACTTTACAGGAAAGCTGCATCTACATACATCTACTAAAACTTTCTGCCAGTGACCACAAATATACATGCATCCACGGTTGAAATGGGAGACAACAATATATATAAATATCTTCTTAACATCTGACAATTTATTAAAATGTGCAGTGAAAACCCACTTTTACGACCAGGCCATGATAATACATGTACAATGTACTGTAAGTATCTCAACCTGACCAAAAGGGGGTGTCAAGTTTTCAGCTTTTGTAGTTTGCAGATAAAGAAATGGCTGATTTTTTGGGAAAACACAACTGGGCTGCTACCACCAGGACATAGTGGTTGTATAAAAGGGGTACCCATACATAAAGGAGAGTTTTCAAACTGCACTTGCTCCCAAATACCTTGCCTGCGCTGCAAACGTACTGTAATCTAACCCTGGATAGTAGCATCTGGGAAGCAGCACCAAAAGCTTTGTTCTGGGCCCTCACTGGACTCAACAAATTACCAGAAATACATTTCAAATTCCCCTTCAACCTGACAGGCAAATTGACCTTGGCTTTTTTAACAGGCCAATCATGGGTTGTCATTAAGAGCCGGGGGCCGAGGATTTTCCCCGGCTACTAAGAGAGTGGCCCCCGGCTACTTTTATTGGAAAATAGAAGAAAAATAGAACCAAAAGAAATCCCTAGCCGTTTGATTCCCCGCCTACTTGTTGTATTTACCCGGGAACTTGAAATCTTAGTGACAACCCTGATGGTGCATACTCAAATCCTGGAACACAAGTGAGGAGCCAAAAAAAGGGTTTTGGCGCTGTTTCAAAAATGGACTTAACCAGAAGTTACATTCCATTTGCGGCACAAGCTATCAAATACCAGAATAACCGTAAGAACAGAGAAAAGGAATAGTTACATGCACCAGCAAGTCTTCCTCAGACACACAAATCAGCAACATGTAAAGTGTATGACACTGTAACTAAGTACTTTTTTTACCTTGAAATGTGCAACTATTTTCTAAGAGTCAATATTTCAGTTCCAACAGCAATTGCCAATCATCATAAGAATTTAAGTCTCTGTGAAAGTTCCAGGACAGTTCTATACTGCTCTCTGGTACTGTAGCTAGGTATCAATATTTTGCCTGTTATCACTGCAGACGATAGCTTCCCTCCCACACACCAATTGATCTGAGACAGACATTTGATGGCATTGTGCTCAAGCAGTGTCTCTGTTCATTGTATTGATCAGTACAGCACATCACTGCAGTTATGGCTGTGCAGTTTATTAAGAATGAAGACTTGTTTTCTGTTCTCCTCACCAATAAGTCTTGCATTTCCTGTTCCTTGGTTGCAAGCCTCATCACCAAAACATTCTCACGTCTTGTAGATTCCTGCTGTTGCTGTTTCAACTTCTCTCCTGTCTCCATGAGTCCTACCAGCTCTTCTGTGAGTCGCAAAACACTTTGGTTACTCAGAACAAGTGTGCTGTTCATTTCTCACAAAAACATTTATTTAGAGAATTCAAACCATTTGTTTAGAGAATTCAAACTACTAGCCTAACCAAAGGTAAAACTACATGTAGCCAATTTTTGCGTACACTACTTTATGGGTTCCTTAAAGCTGACCATTTCTTCCAAAAAGTGTGGATGGTAATAGTAAATTATATTTCATAATGCACTAGTGAGAATAGAAGTGAGACACAGGATGGGTCAGGTAACAAATGTGACCAATGCCATGTCATTTTGTAATGCAGTACACACACAATTGACAACAAAATTAGTTGAGACAGTTTGACCTAAACAGCCTTTGTCATTCTACCGACTTCAAAAGGAGAAAATAAAGCTTTCCCTCCCATATCCCCTCCATGCAATTTTTGTGCAGCTGGTCAAGCTACTTCTAGAAAATAACAAATACCCCAACTCTAAATGGAGAGAAAGGGGTAGGGGGTGTGGACTGTTTTGTTCTCTGAAGTAACCCTAGTTGAGTACAATGTCTCAACAATTTTGTTGCCGATTACATGTTGACAGAGCAACCAAGATTAAGGTGAGAATATTTTAGCTAAAAGCATACAGTCTGTGTACATGTATGTGCATGTACGCAGCTTCGAAACTACAACTTACTATTCGTTTGCTCTCCATTTTGTTTTTTCTCCAAGTGATCAATGTACTCATTCAACTCCTTTATCCTTTAAACAAAAGCAAGGATTTAATACATGTACAATACAACTGAAAACTGCAAGACAAAGTATAAACAGGTATTTACAAGTACTATTTGAGGGGTTCTCCAAAAAATTAGTTTTAAAGTAGAAGGACAGAAAATTTAAGATGGCAGAATAGTACAAAGTTTAGATTGAAAGGTGCAGAGAGGCACAGCTGCCTGATGGGATATGTAAGAGAGAGAGAGAATTGTGCCCTTCCATTAGGGGAGTCCTGGAGGTAGCTTTCTGGCAGCCTGGGAATGTTTTTATTTTCAGAGCACTTCAGTGCAATTTGAACAACTTTAAAGGGAAAGAACTTTAGCCACCAAGACAGAACTTTATTTAACCAGATACATGTATGCTTTTCTTATACATGTAAATTGAAATCAAGGCCCTGCAATTTCAGATGCTTTGTCTTAAATCCCTTATCATAGGGCAGATTTATTGTTGTATGGATATCCCAGTTAACTGAAAATGATCTCGCACCTAAATTCTTATAAACAAGGTTACATTGTGCATATAATTATACATTCCTATACATACATGTAAGGAGACAGAATAAAGGGATGACTACACTGTGAGTACATTTACTATCACTGACGTTATTACTTAGGAAAAAGAGTGCAAATGAACTAAATTTGTTAAAGAAGTACCAAACATAGTTTTCTTGTAAAAATCAAATCAAATCAAAGGTCAAAATAATTGTCATGTTTTTTAATCTTTGTGGTACAATAACAAATACTTTGACCAATTTTTGTAATAAAATATTTCACTGAGATCAAAAGTAGGAAATGCTAAGATATATTTCAATGGAACTAGACCATGGCCAACTACAACTCAGTTTATCGTATGCTTGTAGATTTGACCGCTACTACTCGTTACCAGTACCAGTAAAGATACTGTTATCAAATTGCATGGCATTACCTCAGTCAAATGAAAAACAGTGAAAGTTTCGCTTTACGAAGAGGGAGGTATACCATGAAATCATTTCAGAATCTACATGTAGAGTTTTTATTCTCCTTTTTGTTTAGCCTAAATATTGTGATTGAAAATTAGACTTGTTTATGGTTTCATTCACGCACACTGAAATGGCACTAATTCCATCAATATTACACACATGAGGATGAAAAACAAATCCTAAGATTGCATGCACATTAATGTAAATTGACAGAAACAACTTAACCTGTTTCATTTCAATAATTTGCAGTTTAGGTTACTTCGTACATAATTATAGTCTGTTTTACTGTTATGAGATCACTAAATAAATGGAAACCGTTGCTTCAACCCAAATGGTTTCGTTCTTTATGTACTTTGATAACCATTCTCACAGAGACAATGGACTTTTCCAGAGAGGTTGGAGGGGGTGTTGTCAAAATTGTCAAAATTATTGAGGGGTTGGAAGATGAACTTTGAAACTCTATTTTTCACAATGTTTAGGGCATTGGAAAATCTAAGGGGGTGGGAGTGATGGGGTCCTGAGTGAAATTCTCTCTGTGGTGGTATAAAAAGTTAACTTTTGACACCACAAAAGGAATGGTTCAAGTTTTAATAACCGACAGTGTTGCTGGGGTTACTCAGCCAAAATCCAGAAAGGAGTTGGAAGGGGATGAAAATGGTTACGAGTTTTACCAAAGTTACATCATTAGTGATCTGTAGTTTCGGTAAGACTGCTGTTAGCAACTTCTTGTTTAGTTACCATGTCCTTTAAGGGGCTCTGCTATGGACAAGACACCTTTGTGTAAATAATGATACTTAAACAAGTAATGACTTTACACAACAACAACGTTAAAACGCGAGCTTCCTTTGCAATTTGACAAAGGTGTTGATATAAAGTGATCAATCCCAATGAATGACAGCTCTTCAAATACACTCCTGAAAACCTCGTGCACTTCCGATCATGGAAAATCGTTAAATCAGAGGTAACTGTCATGTAGGATCTAACAACACTAAATAAAAGCTTTTTTCAAACGACAGTAGAAAAATATTGACAAGATTCTTGTCGCTGCAAATTCAGCTGTCACGCAAAAAACATTCACCTTTCTAATACTTCTTCCTTGGACAAGCTCTTAAGATCCTCCGATTCCAGTCGTACCTGGGAAGAAATGAATAACATTAGCAAAGTTTTCAAGGGCTCAAATTTGAACCAGTTCCCATGAAAACAAATGACAAGAAACACGAGACAGTAGACATGCTTACTCGTTTAGGTGCAGGTTCGGTTGTCTCAGCTTCCTCGTCACTTTTTCTTTTGATTGCTACAACAAATGCACAAATAATTGAGCTCAAAGTATAGAGAAACGTTTATGGGTAAATCAGACACTTACCTTCTTCATTTTCCGCCATAATAAACACTAATTTGAGGTCGTTGATACTTAAGACTCGCGTAACATGACAAAAATCGCCATATGCAAGTGAATTTCACCTGCAAGGCAGAATGGGAAGGATTTGAATCGTCAAATAACTGATCGGGTAGTGGAGGGGATGCAATTAACAAGTGTTGATTAACACTCTCACAAACGTGAAATAAAGAAAACTATAGAACCAAAAATTATTCTCGGTGAATTTTCCCTAAGAAATAATTTTATGGGAAACTTTGATGAGGCCATTGATATCAAGGGTTCAATCATTTACGAAGCTAATGTACCTCCCGTGAAAAAGTAATTCGTGGCAACATGAAATCGAGGCCAGCACATGGTTCAAGAATCAATATGGCGGCCACAGTCTTCAAAATTAAGATAGAATATGTTTACTGTAATTCAGGGACTTAAAATTAACATTACACTGTTACCTGATGGTAGACCACAAAGAAGAGCAGGAGCTTGAATTAGAAGCTCTGACTTCCATTTATCCAGAAGAATTTTCACGTAAGAATGCAATAAGCTTATTTTAATTTTAAATTAGACTCATATTTAAATTGTTAAAGTTACTATTAACAATTTCATCCCCGCAGCACTCAATAAAATGTCCGTTCACACTTTGCAATTGAGTTATGCAGTGATGTAGTACCCTCAAAACTGGATCAATCTAACTATGACTAGTGTACACACATTATATAATATATACTATACATGTAATTATATATCTTGTAGTAATTATAATCGCATTATTATTCATTCAAAATAAATTATTTGCCGTTTTTGATTGGCTTTGATCCCCAGCTAGTTTCAAGGCTAGTCCAAGTTTTATCCTAATAGGACCTTATTTAGCACCATGTAGTATATTCCCTTGACTTTGCCGATGCTTAAAGTCCCCTGATCAGGACTCATGCCACAGACAAGTGAATCTACATGTAGTAAATGACCTTCTTTGCCATGAGTACATCTTCATAGCTCAGGGGACAGTGGATAGAGCACTGCTCGGTGTTTCTAAGGTCATGGGTTCAAATCCTCTTAAGCCATTTCAAGTCCTCTTAAGCCATATACCAGCCAATTCTCACACATTACATGCTAAAGAGATCAATCCCATGCATCAAGGACAATTTCTCACACCTGACTCACAAATCAAAGAAACTATTTTTTAAGACATGATTAAAAATGAAACCTCTATTCAATTCCCCTTACTTTGTGCCCTAATTTTAGCATACTGGTAATACATGTAGGCTATAATTGTCACCTTTTGAATAGCTTCGGAATTGCTCAAGGTCATTGTATCATCTTCAGACATTTTCGGCAATTTTCAGAAGTCTTCAGAAAATCATCGGAAATCTTTGGAAATCGATGGAACGTTTTCGGAAATCCAGGCCATGGCAAGAGGAAAACCTCACACATTTAACTCAGAAAAAGTTGGCTGGTATATATTAAGGACTCAAGATTTTTTATCTTGTTCCATGGTCATGACTAGAAAATTTATTGTTATGACATGATGTACAGTGCAATTACTTAGCTCTGGAAAAAGGAGAAAATGGTTATATTCATTTGGAAATTCTTTTGTGATTTATTCTTTAGTAATTGAAAGTGATCCGTGTTGTTTTCAAGTGTCAATTGCTTGTGAACCAGACAAACCTGAAGATGAAGACTGTAAAGGTAGTGTTGTTTCATATTACATTCACATTAAAATGATTTAGTTTAAACCATGTCAAGGTTTCTTGTCAGCAGCTGTTTTGAGGTGATGTCTGACTATTAACTCATTTCACCTGGGTCCTATGAATATCATCAGTTTTATTGGTCATAGACAATTTTATCACCTATATCAAACATGTAACTTGTGCGGGGATAAGAGATCTCTCAAACCATAACTGAATGAGTATGATTAAGTCAAACTAGAAAATTCCAATGAAAATCTTGTTCCACCAACCACCTGTACTTCCTCTTACATTAACATGTTTAGTTTACAATCCTTGTTTATCTATTGTTGTTTACCAATACAGCAACTCCTCAAAGACAGGATTATTAGCCGGTGTAATTAAAAATAAAAAAAATAAAACTTTAAAACAAAAACAAAGACAAAACTCAAAACATCAATAACAGAGAAGAAGGTGTGTTTCTTTCTTTCTTTTTTATCAGTATGTAATTGTGTGTGAGTCTGTGACGTATATAAATTATGTTTATTTTTGTTTTGTTTTTTTTTGTATTTTTCCTACCTGTTCATAAGTCAGTGTGTAAAAAAATGTAATACATGAAAAAATAAAAATTCATTAAAATACAAAAAAAAAAAACCAGATAACTAGTTGATTAGTTAGTAGCTCAATTCAGGAAAAAATTAATGTGTTCAAAATCACTCCAACTGTTGATGGGTAATTCTAGACACACTGGCCCAGAACTGAGCAGGATCAGCGGAGAGAGTAAGACATCTGGAGGCAGGTAGTTCCACTGAACTATAGTTCTGGGATAGAAAGACAGTCTGTGAGAGGTTGTACAGGTGGAAATCAGGACAAAAGAGTGATCATGGACATTTCCACTTCTGCGTGTTAGTGAATGCAAGTTGTCACCTGGGTTGATTGTAGCTAAATTATTAGAGATCCTATACACCATGGTAATGCATGCATCAACTCTTCCCTGCTGTAAGGCTCTCCCGTTGATCTCTTTAAGCATTTCTGTCACACTTTCTAATTGTTGGTATCTCCCCAGTGTAGGAACCATTGGCTTCTATGCCTTTACGAGGGTCCCAACTGGGGGCGTAGTATAGATTTTAGAGTAGGCAAATGTACTCTCTGGTTTTGCTTTAGAAAGTGTCCTGTATCCCTTACTGGTCACCTTGCTAATATGGGTGTTCCATTTCAGGTCTTAGGATAAAAGAACACCGAGGTATTTGGTGTTTGGGACTGTTTTTAGTGGCACCCCATGGAGGGTGTAATTAAGCGGGAATAAAGTTCTCTTTCGGTACACCTGGAAGATATCACATTTTTCCGGATTAAAACTCATCAGCTAGTCTTGTTCCCTTGTATCTGTCTGCAATCGGAGACCGCTCTCTTGAGAGTTGATTGTCAAGTATTTCTTATGACATACTACAAAAACAACAACAACAACAATTTATTTCATTTTTAAAGAACGATATTTCAAACATTGACAACCCGCAGGTAGCATAGCTAATCGAGGCAGGTTGTCAGAAATAAGAACAAAAATTAACATTTGCTCCTAGTAATATGACTAAAAAGGAAACTCATTATATAGACTATGTAGTATAAACAGTTAGTTGAAAAAAAGAATATTAGATACAATGGTTATAGCTTACTTTATATTAATCGTAGATTTCAGTTATGACTGCTGCTTCGCTATTTTATTTAAGCGAGTGGGTGAGTCAACATAACTCTCTTCAGCGTCAAAAATTTGAAAGAGGAGATCTTGAATTTTTTGTTCAAATGCAGTCGATAGAAGTCTTCGTATTTCAAGTGGAAGACAATTCCATACTTTGGCTCCAAAAACTGCAATAGAATTACTCAGTTGGTTTGTGCACGAATACTTGATATAAAAATTTTCTGATGTGGAAGCCCTGGTATTATGGGAGAGAACTGAACTACATCTGATAAAGCTTATTGCAGATTTTTTCCAGAGCAGAGTTTTTGAGATATCATACATGAGATTCGACACTCACTCAAAGTACAGCAAATTTAGAGGTAAACACTTGTCGAAAGCTTTAGAAAACTCCATAATAATTAGGTCGGTCTGATTGCCAGAAGCTAGCCCAGTTAGAAAGGAGGTTAGTGGTTACTAGTTCCAGTGATTGTGTCTCACAGGAATGACCCTGAAGAGAGCCATGCTGTAAGTGGTGTAGGATGTTATACTCATCGAGGGGGACATCATGCAGCTAGTGATAATGTGTTCCATTAGTCTACTACAGATAAAGGTGAGCAAGATTGGAAGATAGTTGGTAGGACTGTCCTTGTCACACTTTTTAAGGACAAGAGTGATCATTGCCATTTTCCAGTCGTTGGGGACTGTGTGTGTGGAGGGTGATCTTGTGAAAATATCATGGAGAAGGGGTGCGATGAAAGGTTCCGCTTCTTTGAGCACCTTGGGCTGAATTTCATCAAGACCAGCAGCCTTATTTGGCTTGAGATTTTAGAGCAGTTTCTTGATCCCTGCAGATGTAATGCAGATGTTTGCGTAGATGGTCAGGGGCTGCAGGTTGCTCTTGGGAGGTCAGAGCTGCTGGCTGCCCTGGAGAAAGTGGAACAATTAAAAGGTGTCGTTTAGCAGGGAAGCCTTTGCTGTCGGGTCAGACACAGTTTTGACTTGATTTTTCAAGGATGGAATACTCAGGGAGTTGGTTCTCGAGTGCTCGAATATTGACCAGGAACGTTCAATTACTAGCTGGGTATCAGACAAGTCTGTTGGTGTGATCACATCTGCAACGTACTTCCAATATGCTCTTAGTTTCTTTTGAAGTAGATGCTTAATAATTGAGACAGACAAGTGTAAAGTTAATCAGAAATACTAGTACAAAAGGCAGGGTTGAATAAAGCATAAATCACATGCAAAAGTTATGGCTATTTATTTTTAAGCAAAGTTTTTTGGGTTTAATTCAAATCATCAATTAATTTATGCTAAACCCTTCATTTAGTGACCTGCTTACTAATAAATATTTGATTTGACTTATTCAAATGGAACTCTTCTTTTACTTGGGGATTATTGATGTTAAAATACAATATTATTGCTGGCACTACAGTACAACATGCATGATTGAAATGCCATTATAAGCTAAACAGAATGCCATTGATTTTAATTTTCACAGTGCATGCTAAATTACAGTTCACCTACGTCAACACATATCCTGACGATCCTCCTCTCATTGAAGTACCATCATATGAAGGGATGGATGATTCAGAAGCAGAGAATCTTCGAGAGTTTTTAGACCAAGAGGTGATTACATTTGACTGATTATCAAACAAGTCTTGCAGCATATTCTGGAAATCATTTATTGTTAGCATGTTCCAGGGGTGCCTGTCATTTACGTGAGGATAACCTGAAATTCCAATTGGAAAATCAAACCGATTGCTTCATTTCATTTGGGAAGCTTCAGAAAACATGGCCTGTGATTTGCAGTGTAGATTGCAAGCAGTCTCTCTTTTTCTTCAGATTTAGTATGCGCGCACGAGCGTTGAGTGGCAAAGCCGCGAGATGCGAGAAATAAGGGCGGCAGCCCGAGAAGACTCTAACCCTATGCACTGCATAAGCTTCGCTTTTTAAAAAAAGAAATGTAGAAAAACCTCTGTTGTTCAAGCAAACTCTAAGGTCACGTTTCACGTGCCTGGCCTGTCAATACCTCAGTTTTCACACCAAAAAATCACTAGACCGTGAAAGACCATTCTCTCTGGCTTTGCAGGTAGTCTCTCTTTTGTCGTGGCTCTCCTGTCTCGTGCCTTAAGTCACGCGCGTGGTCATTTGCATGTCTCGGGCGTTTTGTTCAACAGACCAAGAAAACAGAGAGACTGCTCGTAGTCTATTTGCGCGTGCGGTGATGCAATTTTTGTGATCTTTTAGTTTGTTCAGCTGATTTGGATATACTTTATAGCAGATCATTTTCTCACCATGTCAAATTTTATAGTTTTATGTTTATGCACAAGATTTCCACCAGGGTGGTTTGCATAAATGAAGCATCCCAGGTGTGAAATTTGAGTTCAGATAAGGAAGCTTAAAAAGCAAATTCACTTTTTTCTTTTTGACTACAATTTATTGATTGGATGCACTTAAAAGAATAGAAAAAATTCTCATAGAAAGTGCTTTTAACAAAGGAAAATAAAACCTGGATTAATAATAACAATAATAATAGTTATAGAAGGAGCCCAACTCGCCAAGGCGGTTAAAATTTAACCCCACTAATCAGCCTTCGAACAACTGGGCCCTGTGCTCCCCAGGACCTTGTGAGTGAATACCACTTATGACATAATCAGTTTAACTTCCTCTCCCACTGCTAATAGCCAAGCTCTCACGGGCACAGCGGAGTACCACTGGTAATAAAATTTGGTTATCTATATGCATCCAAGAAATTTTGGTAGTGACATTCAGACAAAATCGTCTGTCCTTAAGTATACACACCTTCATGTTAGCAGATGTGAAAGGTCACACTAGCTTGGAGTCCAAGCTACACTGTGCACAATGTTTAACTTGATATTGGACATCCATGTTATGGTAAATTGACAGCTGTCAAAAAAGGTATCCACTGACTAGTGTCTCATGACTGTATTGCAGGCTCAGGTGTACAACTCATGGTAGTGATTTGTTTATTTAAAAGTTCTCTGCTGACCAGTTATTGGTTTTCAATTGATTGCAGGCTCAGATCCATTTTTTCAGGGCAAATCCAGTGTGCTTCCTGCTTATGGCAAAAGTTTATTAGTGAAGAAAGATCCTATGAGAGCTTCGCTTTTGTTCTTGGCTAAATCTGCATATTATTTGAAATTGACAAGTATTATCTAATTGCATGTCTTGACTCCTTTTTTAGGCACAAGAAAATCTTGGAATGGCAATGATATTCACTTTAGTATCAGCTGCGCAAGAAAAGTTAAATGAGTTTGTGGACAAGTTAAAAAATAGAAAAGAAGAGGAAAAATTAAGAAAAGAAAGAGAAGCAGAGGAAGCAGAAAAGAACAAATTTACAGGAACACCAGTTACTCTAGAGACATTCTTGGCATGGAGAAGAGCATTTGAGCAAGAAACGTTACAAAGTGGAAAGAATAAAGAACAAAATTTTAAAGGAAAGTTAACAGGTAAAGAAGCTAATTGTGTGTTTTCAGATGACGTCATAGCGGCCATATTTGTGTCCCAAAACAATGAAATGGCAGCCCTGTTTGTGTCCCAAACCGGTCTTGTGAGAGTTGAAATTTTTTCTTATGTAAATGCTTTCTTTTGTTCCAATAAATTTGCATAAATGCTGGCCACGTGAGTGAAAACACAGAACACTTACTGCAACTCCTTTCTGTTCACTGATTGAGTTGCCCGCAGTATGATTTAATTTACAGTACAGTGAAACCTGTATTAAGCGGACACTGTATTAAGCGGACAGTAGCCGAAGACCTAAAATTTATTTCCCTTATTTACTTTAAGTGAAACCTTTATCAAGGGGACACCTCTATTTAGTGGACGCGGACACCTAAAAAGTACCTTAAACGGACACTTGTAATCAAATTCCACCATCCAACATGCCAGACACCGGAAATGCGAAAGATTGCCTTGAATTTCCACCCACAACTTTTTCGATTTTTACATTAAAAAACGTGACTTGACAAACTTATTTGACTGGTTTCACTGTACAGTATTGTTTTCTATTTCGTTTTGTTTGTATAGAGCTTGTTTCACTCATCTGATTTCTTCAAATTTGAGTTGCAATCTATGTTTATGATCAATGGACTACTTTGATAAAGAAATTAATGCAAACGTATATCGTCAAAGTCTCTGGGAGTATTCTTAACATTTCCACTGTTCATTTGAATGGCATTTGACACCTCATATGACGTTATCTATCGAAATCTGTATTAGGCAGACACCCTGTATTAAGCGGACACTACAGCATTCCCTGAGGGTGTCCGTTTAATACAGGTTTCACTGTATACTCTCATAACAGACACCTCTAAAAGAAGGACGCCTCAATAAAATGGATATCCAGAGTTTGTCCCTTTATTTCACTCTCTTTAAGATGACCGTTACTCTTAAACAGACACTTAGAGCCCGTTCCAAAGGTGTCCAACCTAGAGAGAGTTGTCTGTACTCTTACATTATTGTAAAGCTAAAGGTTTCTAATTCTCAATTTTCTTGGCACGTTTTCTTCATAAAGAGCAGCGGGTGGAACTTTTTTTTCTCCACCCTGCGTTTTCAGAGACACGGCCAGTTGCAAGAAAAGGTGTTAAAATGCATAGCACTATGATTAAATGTCATGGGTTAAAGTATTTAATCAAGGGGAGTCTCCATTTTGGAACACCTACGAGGCCTAATAGCCAGTAAAGAAAATTAGTGGTCCTCTTTGTTTTTATTTGTTTTATTTATTTAATATTTTCCAAGTACTTGCTCTCCATCTGTACGATGATTCTTAGCAAGAGGTCAGCGGCCTCCCTAATGGTAATAACTAATAACAAGAATAAAATACAATGTAACGGAGGTACACATATTGTTTTCTTTGGTGAGAATGTTTAGTCAATGTTGTCTTCATTGTCATTTTTGGTACAGGTTTTCATACTTTATCATTAATGCTTAGCCAACATATAATAATGGAAATTGAAATATTTGTTCACTGATGTTCTTTGTGTCTAGGTAAACAACTTTTTGAACAAGATTCATCAATGGAAAACTCGGATGCAGCTTTCCTTGAAGGTGAGTAGTGGGTAGCCTGGCAAATTGATCCGTGTATGAAAAAGGCTTGCCACTTTAGAAACGAGAAAGGAAATGGAGCCGAAATGCGTCCAACAATTGTTTCTGGGATAATTACTGGGGGTGTGCCGTTCAGCTGTTGGCCATTTTTTTCTCCTGTCCTTAGTAATTGTTTGAAGCACCTCTGCGTGCTGGGAGACAGTCACGAAGTTCTGAGCTCCATAGGAGTACTTAAGTTTCGAACGAAAAATGTTTGACTTAATTTATCTTCTTTTCTAAACTAAACTCTATTTTCATGTAAATTCTTCGAGAAAAACTTCTGTTGTATTTACCCCCAACATGGTCGCCTTGGCACGTGGTTGCAAACCAAGAATAATAACATGATGACGGTGTCAATTAGAATTGATAACAAGATCGGGTTGACTGACAGTTGTGGCTCAAAATACCAAAATCACAACGTAACTTTTCTAAGACCTGAAGATGTAAATTTGATTGCTTCAATGCACCTGCATTGTGCGCCACTTTTAAATTAAAGAGGTCTTTTATCTACACTAGCGCTTATTTTCGTCGCAATATCTTCAATAACGATCTCTTCGGTTTTACACCACTAACTCTAAGCCTTTCTTTCGACAATTTACTGATCACGATCATTTTCTGACGCCCCACGTCGAATACAAGAGATATTGTCTTCGAGTTGCGATTTGTCGAGAATCGTCCTGTGATCTTCCACAGCGGTCACCAACATACATCATCAGAGCCAATCATGATGTAGCAGCTAAACATATCATCAGGAATGTAGTAAAAGAAGAATTTTTTTCTTTTAGGTGAAGTGAAAGTAGACGAATCTCTGTTTCAAGAAATGGACGATTTAGACCTCGATGATGAAGATTTAGAATAAAGTTACTATTTTTAGAATTCTTTTGTGTGATTCACTTTTCGAAAGATCTCAGAACTGGCTAGTAACCAGGGAGCAAGGGTGGCGCAGTGGTGAGAGCACTCGTGTCTCACCAACGTTCATGTTGCCCGGCTTCAAATCCCGGCGTCAACGCTATATGTGGGTTGAGTTTGTTGTTGGTTCTCTCCACTGCTACGAGACGTTTTTCTCTGGTTACTTATTTATTTAGTATTGACAACTTGGAATGGGCGTTGATGTTGGTATATAGGGTGAGGAGGTGTAAAATCTAAAGATATTGCCCCTTCATCTTTAGCAAGAAAACCGAAGGCTAAAATACTACGTTTCGACCGTTTCATTAGAGAGGTTAACGAACACGTTTACGTCAAACGGCGGGCTCCCGTTTGCCGTTTGTCGACGGTAGTTATCGTGGCTTAGCGTATACCTGGGATGAACTGGAAACTTTATTAGCGCTCCATGCCATTCCGCTGAGGTTAACATTCATCTTTACAGTGTTAACAGACAGTCTGCGGCTATATGTAATTTGAAAACATTGACAACTCGAATCTGACGTTTTCCGGAACAAAAAACTACGTGACTCAAATGCCTGCAGGCTCTTGGTACGAGTTTGTTAATTGCAAAGCAAACAGCCGCAAAAAAAACAAGACTTTTACGCACGCTATGTACTTCTGGGGTCACTTCTGGCTCATCGTGGTCACAGGTGAAGCTATAGGTTTCTTACTGTTTCGGTTAATGCCCTCGATTAATGAAATTTTTTTTTAGAAAATGTTGGATTCATTGATCGACGTATTCAAGCAAAAAATTAAGCTAAGTTGAATCTTGCCTACGGGTAGAATTAGCTGCAATGTAATCCCTTGTTTCCTGTTTTCTGGAAAGCTGTGCTTTTCGAGCGCCTGTCGATTACAATTATTTGCCATAATTCTGCAAACCAACAGTATGTCCAACTGATTTTTGTTGTTGTCTCAACTGTAAATTATCAGAATTAAGCGTTCTCAATATCCCCGTAGCATTTCTGAGCATGTTTTTACTCTAAAACGCTTGTGATATAAGGAAACGGTGGGCTCTGGGAAAGACAAATCTGTGGCCTATGACGTATTTCCGTCTCCGGTACTTGACCAACACAAAAATCGAGATGTTTGTTCCCAGATTTCTCGCGGTTTGCGTTTAGGTTGCGTTCTCCCGGCGACGTCGAATAGACTGCTTGCAGTCCGCCTTTTCTCTTAAAATCCGTCTAGTTCTTGTCTCATCCAGCGCGATTGCAAACCACGACGTTATTATTACAATAAGGGATTGAGACGTTCGTGTGGTTAGGTTTCGCGTGCAGTAACTTTACAAAGAAAAATAAGAGACTGCTCGCAGTCTAGACGTCGAACGCAATCACTATCCGTTGAATGAAGTCAGGGACGTCGAAGCCCAGCTCCCGGTTTATATAAGAAGGACATTTCATAAGTTTCTGGCCAACAAATTTAACATTATTTAGAGAGGAGGCAGAGGACATTGCACTCCCCTTATTTGCCCCCTACACTTAATAAATACTGTTACCTTGTCACTGAAAATACGCAGATCTTTAAGTTAGTAGGGAAAAAATGTCCGACTAGTCTAAGTGAGCTTTTTCCTACCAGTTTAACCACGGACGACAATGTTCTGCTCTTTTTCAAATTTTATTGTCAGTATGTTAACTTCACTCTTATTCTATTAGTTAACGAATATTTTCAGTCTCTTAAACATAACTAGCATTGACAAGCACGTAATTAATACTTATACAGAAGGATTTCCACTAAGAAAATTAAATTTGTAACATGAAAAGTGATTTGTACAAGGACATGTGAATTTGTGCAACAATTAAATTTCTAATTGGAGTGCAGTCATCAAGACCCGGCCGATATTTGTCACATCACTACATATTTAATATTTATAAGCAATGTTCAAGAATTTATAAATTAACTCTTGATCTGTCGTCTCATTCCACTGAAATTTCTGCAAAAAAGGGCATCATAAAAGTTAGTTTGCTGTAATTTGACTTGTGTTTCGTGCCCAGAAAATCTAAGGCCGAAAACAGGTGTTACTCACGGTAACCCAAACCTCTTGTACAGATGACTCGAATTTTTTTTCTTTTCCTTTGCTTTTCTTTTCTTTTCTTTTTTATTTTTTTCTGGTTAAATTACTTTATTGACAAACATATATTCAAAATACATGTAATGCAAAATTACAACATTGGAAAATAAAGAAAAGCGACTTGAAAAGAAAAACTACCCTTTCCCCCTTTTCTTTTCAAAACCGAGGTCTGTAAGACCTAGAGGCCGACATACTTCGTTTTTGCCAGAGAACGGTTCTCGCCTCGCCTCGTCTTAGCTAAGGTTGGCACACACCAGCATCATGTCACTGCAACAATTCGCGGCGACAAATCACTCCATGTGTACAGGTCGGGCGATAAGTTCCTGCAGCATGTTGTGCGACACGTCGCGGCGACAAATCGCCTCGTGTGTACGGTACAATCTTTTTGGAAATCTTTGTCTCAACATCAGAATGCTGTCGCCGCCATAAGTCGCACTAATTCAGTCTGATTTGATTTTGTGCGACTTGTTGCGGTGACAAGCTTCTGTTGCGGAGACCAAATTTTTCACAAGAAACGATATGTCGCTGCGACGAGTGGCCGCAACGTCTTGCTGCAACTTGTCGTCCGAATCCACCAATGATTATGTGCACCTTTCATTCTCTCCTTCTTATCCGTTGCACCTTTCTACGGGTCATGTCATTTTTTCGTGCGCACGCACGTAAATTTAATGAACATAAATAAGATAGTGGCGTTTAAAAGGATCAAGCCCGACAATAAATGTTTCGTAGCAACCACTCAGACAAAAACAGTGGGTGGGAACGTTATGTTCGGGCTAAAAGATATAGCTGTTCTGACTTCATAAAACCAAACATGTTAGTCTGTGCCGGGATGATTTCTCAGCATCTCAAGGAAAATCATTAACCCAGAACTTGAGGAAGGGGGTGGGGCTCAGAGCGAAGTACGGACCCGCAGTCTTTGATGTAAGAGATATAAGGCATTCTTTCAAGCACCAAACCCCCTTCCAACTTTTTGGCAAAATATAATAAATAAAATTAAAATATCTCGCAGGTTTTTAAATAAAAAGTTTCTTCATTATGTGGTAGATATCTTCAAAAGGATATCACATGTGGCATTGCACATCTTCTCCGATAATCTACACAATCCAGCTTTCAATCCGATAGCCATGTAAATGGGCTTGAATCGATCAAAACTTATGAGCAAGGAATCGACGAAACTAGCGACAAGAATTTCAGGCTGTTTCTCAAAAAGTGGAAAACACACTGCAATCAGCTTTTCGGCGATTGCGACTGAAACTACCTGACTTGAACGTACTAATACAATACTTGAATGATATATAATAGTTTTTTTAACCACATAGCAGCTAGAATCTTACAAAAACTCGTTAAAACGTGTGTGTTTTTTGTACTTACCAATTTAATTCCATTGTTAAGATTCTGAACTCTCGTCTTTGGAATCTTCTAAACTCCTAACCTCCTCACGTTTTTCCTCCTTCGAATCCTCTTCGGCTTGCAGAGTTTTCTCAATTTTTTCAAGGTCATCCTCTTCTTCTCGACCAAAGCGTCCCTGTTCTTTATCGTCCGCAATTTTTTCACGACCAAAGCGTCCTTGTAAATCTTCTTCTCGCCCAAATCGTCCTTGAAAATTGCGTCCAAAACGGCCTTGCTCGTCCTCCTCCTCACGACCAAATCGTCCTTGTAATTCATCACGACCAAAACGACCCTGGAAATCACGACCAAACCGACCCTGCATGTCATCTTCTCGCCCAAATCGACCTTGCATATTTTCTTCTCTACCAAAGCGTCCTTGCATGTTCTCACGACCGAAGCGCCCTTGAAAATTCCTTCCAAACCTGCCTTGAAAATTTCTCCCAAAACGACCAGGAACTAAGGCTCGTAGCTGGTGCTCTCGGTCCCCTCGGCTGAACCGGCCAAACCAGTATTGTGGCTCCCGTTTTTCCTCCATGTTATCAGAGAAACGCCCTCTCCAGTACTGTGCGTCACTAAATCGACCCCTCCAGTATTGAGGGTCTGCAGATAAGCGGCCTCTCCAATACTGAGCTTCGTTTAAAGCTTCTTTGTTATCAGATAATCGCCCTCTCCAATACTGTGGATCGCTCACTGATCTCTCAAATTTGGCGTCAGTAAACTCGGGAAGACTATCACTGTCATCACTACTTTCCTTTTTCTCCTCAAGTGGTTTTGCGCTGATAACTAAAAGGTGGCAGCACAGAACAACTGCAATCCACGCAGACATTTTTCGCCCGCTAAAAATTAGGAAATGAAAAACTAATAAGTACATTAAGCTTCTTGTAAGTCTTCTTTAGAGATTTACTTACTTATGTGCTTGGTCGACCCTGGTATAAACTTAATTGAGATATTTCAACTCAAAGAATATTACGATGCTAAGGCGCTACCTTGGACTAAGCGTTAAATTTATTTCAGTTTTAAACATAACATTCTGCAAACTGATGTTTTCGGTAGACAACATTCAACGTGTTTCACATGAGGATAACGATAATAATTTGTAGTGGTTTGGCGATGAGTCACAAAAGAAAATTTGACTATTTTTGAAACAAAAATATACTAATCGGAAGCATAATTTTTCAGAAGTAGATTTCCTTTTTTTTCCTTGAACATGGTAGCTGCTTTAATTAGTTTTTTTCTAACAATTTGAAAAATCTCGCTCGTTTAGTGCCAATGACATGAAACTTGTTTTCAGCCGGTGGAGATAAGAGTACATTCACAGTACCATATGAAATAAAACGACATCTGGTATGAACCTTACAGAACCCTCAAGATAGCCGTGTGATTCTTATTGTCATATAAAATGTAATTTTTTTGATAGCCACGCCGTGATCCAAAACAATTTCTTTTATTGCAGAAAATTCTTTACAGTAATAACGTTTTAGCGGCCAAAAAGAAGACTTCGCGGCAGAAAACTTTCAATATCAACACTTTTACGTCCATTTGCGTAAAGATCGCTGCCTAAGTTGTTTTAAGCCAGGGTGTGGTGAGACTAACAAGTTAAATTACAGTGAGATATCTACCCATTTTGTAACATCAAAAAGGTCCATAAATTAAAAGAATCGTGCTTCTTCTATTATCGGGTAAACAAAAACCAGATGCCCAATCACCCAAACATTAATATTTTATAAAGAAAACTAAACAATTTCTAGAACGCTCGAGCTAATTTCTGATGACAAAACTAATTTACACCATTTTTCGTCAAAAAGTATGCTTACTTTCAGTTAAACTTGACTTTCTAAAACGAAGGAAATTTCTTTGCTTTGGTGGTTTGATGATAAATTCAGCAGAAATATTTCTTGGCTCAACACTGATAATTCAAAAAAACAAAAATTGCGCAAAGTCGTTTTTGTCAACTGTGTTATGACGCATCTAAAGATTTCGCTCTGAACGATTTTAAAGTGAGCTTGAAATTGAAGAGATTTCTTTAAAAAAGAACTTTTGTAAACTTTGGTTAAAGCTTGATCACTGAGTTTGTAATTAACACTTCCGCGCCATCGAAATTAAGTTTTTGAAAAAGATCCGTTTTGTGCATCCGTTAGGTTGCATGTTTGATAATTCAGCGGTGCTCAATCTGTTGCTTCAAGTAACCTTAACTACTCAAGAAACTGAACTCAAACAAAAAGTGCGCAGGGTCTGTTATTTTGATGTAATGTTCAGAGACATCAGGATAGTCTGTTTTTTAAGTTTTCCTACACTTAAACTAAAAACAGCCGCTATCTTCGTCATGGGTAAAAAATCCGCTAAAAGCTAGTGTTAATCGGTTGGAACATGCTCCGAAGATTTTAAGTAGGCGAAAAAAGAAACGCTATCTCGCGTTTTGTCGGAAAGTTCTCTAAATATCGCTTAAAACAGCTTATAGCTTTTTTGCTAACAATTATTCACAATGTGATTCAATGGCAAAGATAAAAAATTGCAACTAACGGAAAGAAATAAAAAAGCCATGCCAAAGGTCTCAAGTTAGCCATTTCGTTTTCATTTTTCTAGCGGTGAAAAGACTGTGCCCTTTTCAATTCAATCCGCGTTCTCTTTGAGTACAACAACTTACCCTTAACTGAAACAACTTGCGTTATTGGAAGATGCCACTTTGTTACTTCTACTGCGTTTTAAGACCCGGTATCGCTAAACTTACCGAAAAAAGTATTTCCACGGAAAAATTCCAATCCAAGAAATCAGCCCACCGTATTCTGGTCGTGGTCGTGTTTACAGTTCTTCTGTCTCAAGGTCCTTTGCCAGACCGCAATATATTTTTCCCAGCCAACGTCGCCTTTTGTGTGAATTAAAATCAGTTCCGGCCTGTGTTGTGATGCTTGTATCAATTAACTGTGGTCGTAATAATTGAAACAATAGCCGCCTGATTATTGAAATTAGCAGCTAAATCAGGCAATTAACCGAAATTGACGAGAATTGGCCGCTGAGGCGAGACCCAGCAGGTGGTTGAGATGGAAAGAGGATAAACATAGTGGATCGCCGATGTGGGGGCGACAAATATCTTAGGTAAACGCATTCAAAGAATTAACAATTACATATAACTTGCGTGAAAAAGTTAGATTCTCGAACGATAGCGATTTAAAGGTAGACGAGAAGTACGTTGTTGTGTTCTGGTATTTGCTGTTGTGTGTAAAAATGTCGTGAAATGATGAATAGTCTATGAATGTTTATGTGACTTTTTTCCTACAAGGCAAACAATTAAATGACATCCACTTGCATTGAGTCATTATTTTTATTTCTTCATTTGTTGAAGAAGGCGAACCTTATAAGTGTTTCGTGATGGTGACAAAGCTCCTTCAAATTCTTGTTTGATCATACAGTTTCTAAATCCTAAGCGATTTTTTTAAAGATTCTTACAGCGGATATTAAATTCGTAATGCCTCAAACTGTGAACGCAAATTTAAAAACGTACGTTTTACAACCATTTGTACACAGCAGCCCAAATTGCTTTTTTCTCTGCTGCTACCATAAACTACAGATACTGGAAAACATCACAAAGCGAAACCACAGTTTTCATTTGAGACCCGTGTTTGTTTCAAGGTGACTTTATTTGAGGTCAATACCCTATAGTTAAGAACGTCATCAATTCGTCTCTTTTTTTGGTGGATTTTTTCGCCCAGTGGGGGGCAGGTCTTCATTTCTTTTACCTAATAACTAATCTTCAATGGGACGCACGATGAATTTGAAATCATTTGACTGATTTTCATTGGCAGTTTCACTTCGCATAAAACAGCGTTGGCACTTTCGTAAAATATTCTTAGAATAGGAGTGGGCGTGCGCGCATGCGCTGAGACTTCACTGAAAATCAAATCAATTTGTGGCATATTACTAACGGTTTATCATTCCACTGCGTTTACATAGTTTGAGTTCCCTCTATGATAGCGCACATCTACCCAAAGTTCTGATCATAGACTAAAATGTCCATATAGCGGTACCTTAATAATTTTATTAACCCAATGAAACTGATATCCGTGCGCCAGCTATTAATCCTCTTCAGTGAAATAAGCTTTCGCGTACATTGTAATTGAATCAGCTTGGAACACGCCGCTTTCACCCTTTTCTAAACAAATTAATGAAAAGCGATCCTAAGGTGCCAGAGGCTTTTTTAGGGTTTTTCATTATTACTTATCCCTTTGTTCTTCATTTAACATTCCCAATATTAATCCAAATCACTCAAAGAAAGCTCAAAATAATTCCTAAGTTCATAAATTCGTCTTTGCCTTGTTTTCATGAACACAAAGCAACTCCAGTTTTCACAAGTGCAATATTCACCTGCCTACGGGGCGACAGTTGCATCATTCAGGTAATAAATACCAAGTGTTTTATTCAATTTCCACAGTACAATTTTGAATCTCAATAAAATAATTTGACTTTTTTATTGCTGAACACGCAGTTAAAAACGGTTTCTAATTAAAAACAGCGTGGAGCATATTTCACTAACTGAAACAACCACTTTTCAAAATATCTTCAAAGAGAGATTTTTTAAGCACTAGACGCCGGTGTTAAAACGGCGGACCTAAAGTCATCTGCAATAATTTCCTATAGTTTTCTTTCTTCCTTCATTCACTAGTAACTCACTTGTAATTCCGATAAAAAATTGCCTTTTATCTCGATGCTAGATAACTGATCTAACCATGACAAAAAAATCAAATTCCGAAAAAGGGAAAAATGAAATAGTAAACAGATATCACCCAACAAATAATTTTTTATTATTTCAAACAACAGAATTACATTATTTGTAAATTTCACTCCCTCCTCAAGTGCAAAACAACTTTCTAATTTTAATTTCCTGTAGTAATAATTGTAAGAAAGTGTTGTTTACGAAGTGATTTCCTTTAAGTTCGTCGTTTACCGGAAAACACTTTACAGAGACAAATGTCCCCCTTGATAATACACTCCACATGCACAACCCAGCAGCGATAAATTGAAGAACAAACTGGAAGACGAAACTTCGCGGGTCTTGATAGTTTACTTTAAAAAATGTCAGGGATATAAAATAATGTCTATTAAACGACATAATTTGCATAGACAAATTTCTTGTTGCTACGGGTTTTTTTTCCATGGGAATTTAAATAAAATCGACAAATATATCATTCTATGACATCTAGAAGCTAGCCTCATGATACTTTGATATGAATATGTGAAAAATGTCTCTTCGAAAAAGCAGAAAAACGCCACTTTTCTGCTAAATGGTTCTTTCTTACATCAGCTTTAACGCCACACTGGTCTGATGCTATTTTTTTGATTTCTACCTTTCTCAGTTTTTCATTTGGGCATTACATTCTCTGCTTAAGCATGTCCATGGTGTCGGCAAAAGGCAAGAGTCTTATTTCATCCAAAAATCTCTTGACGGCTAAGCGGATCAGAGCCCTTGGAAGAATACTGTGTGTAGGGTGCCGAAAAGTGACTTTTTCCCGTTCACTTTAAAAAAATTGTCTCGAAAATTAATCAAATGAAATTTTAAAATGCCGCTTAAGTCTTTCTATTCATGTCGTAATTAGGTTCTTATTTTGCAAAATGAAACTACAAAATAAAAGTAACACAACTACATGCAAAAGTGGCAGATTGAATCTAAGCTTAACTATTCTCTATTGAATTGTACCCCTTTATTCTTTGTTGTGAAGCTGTTTAACTTTTTCACCTGCTAGACGTTAAAAAGCAAACGGCTCAAGAAGTTCTTGATCCATATAGGGTTTTCAATTTGCGAGGTGTTGCGGGTTTTTGTGAGAGGAATAAAAAACCTCGTTTGCAGTGCGCAAACTAAACGGCTAAGCTTCAAAGTGGCCCCGCTTTCATGAGCCTAGTAAGCCTCTCCTATGATAGATGAACTTACGTTCGCTCTTTTCAGAATGTGGGACAAAACTCTAAGATCGTGGTGACTATTCAGATTAAACCTCGGAAGCAACAAATTTCAAATGACACTTGATGCCTTTGAGTAAGTTGTAGATAAAATTTGGAATCTTGGTTTCTTGAAAATGAAATTGGAGACCAGTTCAAAGGTGCACAATGTGGAACACGAGTTGAAATGAGTTTCAGTTCTACTGCATTCAAACTGTCTCGAAAATCTTTAAACGATATATTTATAAAAAAGTAACAATTTTCATTAGAACGTCCTCAAAAAAATAATAATGATAAAAAGTCTGTCTAAGTTAATCCGAGGCTACAAAATTTATACCCACAATCAAATTCAGCGAAAGTGCTTGATTTTTATAACTTTGCCGCGTCGATAAGTATTCTCAAATATAGACATTTTCATACCAGGCTTACTGATCTTGAAAGAGACCACTTCGAGTATTGACATGTTTATAAACAGTTGCCTCGTATGACCCAGGAGCCACTTGGTCAATACAGAATCTTACTAAAAGCTTTTAACATCTTGTGGCTCAAAATCTAAGAAAGCTTGATATTTGAATGTAAGACAGAGAATTGTGAATTTGAGAATCGTGGTATTGAACTGTAAATTTCAATCGCCAGCATAACTTAACGGTTTTTACGACAGGCATAAGATCTATAGTGGCCTATCACTGCTAGACGGTGGCTGCGCGCGTGCATTGAGTTCTGGCCAAAGACCGTAGATGTCATAGATTAGCCGTGGTTTGGTGCCAGGGTTTAGAATTAAACTGGGCTCGCCGTGGTTGTCAATCGTCACATTTAATGTTATAACACTGTGCCTTATTTTGGCTGAAATGGCCTGTCTGTGATCTAACGATTGTGGTTCTCCCCTCCCACACACACACACCCCGTCAAAGTTGCTACTGATCAATATAAGACTACACTAAAAAGTTAGAGGAACAATTTTGAATGGAGGGGAAGAGGGGGTGCATGGTTTTTTTTTCTCACAGATGTGTGAATAACAGGCCGGTTTTTTGTCGGAGTGTCTTAACATTTTTGTAGCAGTTAGATAAAAAAGAGAGACAAAAACACAATCATGATAAATCATCACACTTTATTTCAACTGAAACGAAGCGCAAGACACACACATAACGCCAATACAAAGCATAAATGTTGACTGTTGTGTCACAGACATATATACTGCTCACTAACTAATGATAGAAAAGCAGGAAGCCCCTCCTTAAGTGTATGTGTTCAGGCATCGCTATATTTAAAGAAAATTTTAAAAAATGTTAGTTTTGAAGACTACTGCCGATTGAATCTAATTTGCCTGTTATGATCCAAGATGGCCATATATCATTGTGAATGACGTCTCTGGTATCCCGGTTGCGTCACATTCCATAAAGTATGTTATTATTCATTCAAGATATTTCTCAGTGTCTGATTGGCTAAAATCCCACGCATAATTCGTCATAACCAGCTATCGTCGACCAAATTTGGAAGAATTTTGCGATACGTGAAAAATTGCCAGATTATTGAACGGTTAACCGAGAAGACCTGGGAACGAGGTTGAGTTGTTTTGGTTGTGACTAGAAAATGTCGGAACATTTCACTCGTTTCAAGAGTAAGAAATAGGCAGAATATGGGCTAAAAACAGCAAGAACTCCAAGACGACATATCGACGGACTACATCTACTATTTGGGGAATATTTGCTCACCTGAACAACCCTATATCTTGTAAACTTGCCGATAAACATGCACACTACATGCACTATCGAAATCGATGGAGATAAGCATGTTTTAGCTTGTTTTTAAACTAGGAATTATTTTGAATTATCTTGGAGGGTTTCCATAATTCTTCAGATGATACAGCCCAGCCTCATTCAATAAGTGTTAATTGTTATATGGCAGAGTCTGTTTTCGCCATGCGATTGGTCAATTTGCGGTTCGTAACTTGCTATACGGACCAAATCTCTTTACCTGGGAAAAAAGGTTTAAATAAAGTCCGTTTATAAGACTTCTGTCAACCTTGAGGACTTTAATGTTCACTTTGTCCTTCAACAGTTTAAACCGGGTTTATTTGTGAACGAAGGCGATGAAGAAACTAACTCGTAATCTTATCGAAGAGGATTCTGGTTTGTTTGAAAATTTTACCGTAGTACGCAGTTAAGAAGACGAAAATCGACTGGCAGAGGTTCGAGATGTTTTGCCTAGGAGAAAATGAGTAATTCCTTCGACAAATATGATAACAAACATACCTGCACCCGATCATCTTGACGAGCTTCGTTGCCATTTGCAGTGTTTCCTCAAAGACCAACGAAAGAAGGATATAGAAGCGACTTCGAGCCAGACACAATGTCCAGTTTTGAAAAGACTCCAGTGTCACATTGGCGAGTGAATGCTTACAGTGCTCTTAGTTTTGATCGAATATATTGTTATGTGTTATTGTTTTCGTGAGCCAATAAAAACTCTCTTTTTTGACGCCTGTTAAATGACTGTGAAATAGCGCGTCCTGTACTTGTTTCCAGTCTGCCAAACTGGAAGAAGCCATATAACGGACATCTTATTAGCCTCGTTTTTTTTTTGGTCCGTACTGTAAATTACGGATCCTCGTTTTTTTTCCATCGATTTATGGCCCAAGCGCGAAATCGATGGAAAAAGACTCGGTCCGTAATTTACCGTGGAATCAAACCACTATGAGATGAAGCCGCGTTTCCCAAGCTTATCATTTTCTTAAAAATTTAGCTAATTGTGTGGATAGCATGCTATTTCACTGTTTTTATGATGCTTAAAACTTCGTTTCAAAATATCTCAAAAACGCTCTCATAGAATTTGTTCAAACTTTGCCATAATTGAGGCAATTATGGCAGGTACAAACTCCCTTAAGCGATTTTTTTTAAAAAACTCTTGGTACAGAGAAACAAAAAGATAAATAAAAAACGTAATGGCATCGTTACGTTGCTATGGCGACTCCGATTGCAATAAAACCCAGATCATAAGAAATTTTCATCTTTATATAATACAGTTGTGGTAATCTTTTTCCCATATCTTTACTCATGGCGACGTAGTTAATGCTCAAACTTGGGAGGTATCCCCCCAAAAAAATCCAGTCGAGCCACCTTAAATTGTAGGAACCACTTTCCTTGAAACTCAGAAGCTTCCTGCACGATTACGAAGTGAAATAAGAGCGATTACTCTGCTACTACAGAAACCTCTTTCCCCTGCCATTTGGAAAAGAGGCCTTTGACTGCAGTGTACGGAACGATGAATTTTGAAACAACGTGAATTCACTTTTTAAAAGGCATTTCGCCACCGTCATCTTCGTTGTTGCTTTAACAAACACTCTAATATTAACGGGCAAGCTCATGTAAAAGATAACGTACAAAAATGAGTGAAGGATAAAAATATTCACATAGATATTCACAATATGAATACGAATTTATAAATCGATGGAGAGTACTGCATAAATTCAATCACGGCACTCTTTTCAAAAAGAGCCAATATTTACCGTCCTTTCAAATGCTTTCGTGATTCAGCTCTAGAACTGTAATTTGAAAACTCGAATAAACTATCTATCTTTATCAGTATCCTCATGATGGCGGCCGCGATCGATGATCGCGATCGATTTTGTCGTTTTAATAAATGTTTTAAGCCCGAAAAATTCCATATTTTTACAGCTTTTTTCTGCAGAACAGAGCACTGTTTACGCGCACAAAACTTCGTGTACAACACTGGACTGGTAAGAATTTCTCTTTCAATCAGAGGCCGAAACACAGTTTGGCCTTGTTTTGACTGGAACTGACAATTGGCTCCTCGTTGGTGTATTAGAACCTGTAAATCTCACGGGTGAGGTAAAACAAAGTATAGAACGAAATCAACACAATAGTACCAAGAAAAAGAAAACATTCAAAACAGCCTCTTTATTGCCTAAAGTAATTTTGATAGTTATGTATTTATATCAAATAAATATATAAATGTCTATCGGTGCAATATTTTGAATTCATTTAATTCCAGTGCCAGACAGTGATCAATCTTATCCGAAACGAAAATAGCAAGCTGAGTACAGAACTTTACAGTGTTCAGAAAGCAACTAAGGCTCAGCAAGTACAGTAAAAACCCGCATACAAGAACACCCATTTTCTGGGTTCAGGCTGATTGGGTTCTTATATATCGGGTATTTTAGGTGAAATCAGCCTGAAAGTGTTCTTAAGTGTTGTTAATTTTTTACTTCTAAAAAAAAGTAAGTTGTTATACATGTGCTATACACAGCAAGTGAAATTACTAGCATTTATACAGAGATCTTAGTGCAATACCACAGTAAAGCTACAGACACTGTTCCATTAAACTGCAAAGGGAAGAGTTTTTATATATAAAAACAATTTTCAATTTTCAGGCTGAATGTGTTCTTATATATAGGCTCCTTTTTTACCAAATTTCAGCCTGGGTGTTCTTAATCCACATGTTCTTGTATGCGGGTTTTTACTGTAGTGTACGCCTATTAAACAAGATCACTGAAAAGATATTGCTAAAGGCGGGCTTACTGGGCGCCTGCGTTTGTATTCAAGTCAATTTCTGAGTCCATTTCTTCTTCTTTCTTTGCTCCTAGTACATTTCTTTCCCAATTAACTGAGTGCCTCACAGGGAGCTGGGGCGGGGTATATACTCTATTTTCGATTCTCCCATAATACACTCTTCTTGCTTCCCTCGCCAAATTTTGAAAAAACTATTGTTTTCCAATGCTCCTGGGAGGCTTGCACTTTCCCAAGAGTATTTGAAGACAATAACTCCTGCAAAATTTAGGGGGCAAACAGAATGCTTTATGGGGCAAAACCAGGTCCAACTATCAATTTGAGTAGGCTACGTTTTTGCCGAAAAAATTTCTGCACCAAGGCCTTTTGCCCATGAAACGTCATCGCAAAATTGTTAACGCAAATGTTAAACACAAAAGGGCTTCGCGTTCACCGACACTGTTATATGCGAGTACCCCCTCCCCCAATTCCTAGGATGTCCCATCCCCCCTCCTGTTCAACATGCTTGGAGAAAAAAAGTACTTTAGGAACCCTGGGGCTAACCAGAGGATTTTAAAAGCAAAATTAATAGCCATTTATCTGGATTGTCATATAAGCAGCGCTAGTATCGGGTTTAGAGCTTCATAGCTATGTTCACACCATCAGCGACGGGAAGAAAACATATCATAACACGGCTGTCCTTGTGAATTTTCAAGTTTAAGTTGTGAATGGCTCTTGTGGACATATCTGAGGCGATCATCTCAGGATTGCAAACTCTTGAATGCCACAGAGCCTAAAGAGAAATAATCAGCCATGATCATACATACAAACTGAGAAATAAACTATAAACAAGTCCCTCATTTTCTCTTGCTATAGAATATACCGCAAGGAAAGTACGCGAATACGGTCTTTACGTACAAGTAATAATAATAATAATAATAATAATCAGGAGAGGAATATTCCAGGGGCATTCCTTATCCCCTTTGTTATTTGTGATTGCAATGCTACCTCTCAGCAGTGTACTGAACGAATCAGGAGCAGGCTACCAACTCAGTAAGGAAGAGGGCAAGATAACCCATTTAATGTTTATGGACGACCTGAAATTATATGGAAGAAATGAGAAGGAAATTAACTCACTTGTCCATACTGTCCGGATGTTCAGCAGTGACATTGGTATGGATTTTGGAATTGAGAAGTGCGCAACCATGGTAATGAAAAGAGGCAAGCTGGATAAGTCAGAGGGCATAAGATTGCCTGATCGAAGAATTATCCGAGGTATTGGAGATGATGTTGAAGGTTATAAATATCTGGGGGTGTTGGAGGCCGATGACATTATGCATGACGAAGTCAAGAGAAGTATGAAGAAGGAGTACATTAGGAGAGTGAAGAAAACTTTGTCCTCAAAGCTAAATGTTGGTAATGTCATAAAGGCTATTAACAGCTGGGCTGTATCTCTACTTCGGTACAGTGGGTGGATTGTAAATTGGACAAAGAGTGAGCTTGCTGAATTGGATCGTAAGACCAGGAAACTATTAACCATCCATGGCGCTCTTCACCCCAGGTCCAATGTAAGCTGCTTGTACCTACCAAGAAGAGAAGGAGGGCGTGGACTAATTAGTGTTGAGGATGCGCATTAATATTGAAGAAAGAAATATCAATGTCTACGTCTGCCAGAGCCAGGAACGGTTGTTGAAAGCTGCATGGAAGAGGAAGAATGTCAATGAAATTGAAACGCCAAAGGAATATAAGGAAAAGATGAAGAGGAAAAGAACTGAGGACTGGTCTGGAAAGCAGCTACATGGGCAGTTCAAGAGAGAGACAGATGACCTATCTGGTGTGTCTTGGGAGTGGATAAGAACTGGTGAACTGAAGAAGGAGACAGAAGGGCTTATTTTTGCCGCGCAAGATCAGGCACTAAGAACAAACGCCGTAAAAGCCAGAATCGAAAACCAAAATGTATCATCCAAATGCAGAATGTGTGGTAGCCACGATGAGACTGCGCAGCATATTTTGTGTAGTTGCCCCAAGCTTGCGCAGACAGAATATAAAAAGAGACATGATGTTGTTGGGCGGGTCATTCATTGGGAGGTGTGCAAGGAATATGCAGTGACAAATGGTGCACTGCAGTGACAAACGGTATGAGCATTCCCCCAAAAGCGTAGAAGAGAATGAGGAGGTTAAACTGTTGTGGGACTTTACCATCCAAACAGACCGTGAAATCCATCACAGGAGGCCAGACATTGTAATTCAGAAAAAGAAGGCAAAGGAAACAATCATTGTGGACATAGCTGTTCGCGGAGATAGTATAATATACTGCAGAAAGAAACTGAAAAGTGTGAAAAGTACCAAGACCTGGCAAGAGAGATTCAAAGGATCTGGAAATCAAGGACAAAAGTGGTGCCAGTGGTTCTAGGTGCATTGGGTTCAGTGTCAAAGAGGCTGGCAGGCCACTTGGAGCAACTAGGAATTAAAAACCGAACAAGAACGATGCAAAAGTCGGCACTCCTCGGATCGGCACATATCCTCAGAAAGGTGCTGGAAGTCTGAGGTTTCGGGATGAGACTTGACTGGATATTTCTCCCCAGGGAAAATCCCTGTGCTAAATTTTACATAATAATAATAATAATAATAATAATAATAATAATAATAATAATAATAATAATAATAATAATTTACATTTATATGGCGCAAACCTCTATATGAATACATTCGGTTGCGCTTTACAATAATGTTACATTAAATTTATGTTAAAGGCGACTAAAGCCAAAATTAAATCTATTTAAGAGCTAAATTAAAAAGTTTTAACAGCAGTCTTAAAAGTGTCCAATGTCTTCATGTTGCGACTTGCCGGAGGTAATGCATTCCAGAGATAAGGTGCAGCTGACTGGAATGCACGGTCGCCAAGAGTTGGATGGGTCTTAATGCCTGGTAACTCGACGAACATAGACTCATTTGACTTGACCTTACAGAGTACCTGGATTGCTTTTTGATAGTAATTAAATCAATTAAATAATTAGGAGCTTGACCATATAAGCACTTAAATGTCAAAAGTAGAATCTTAAACTTAAAACCGAGCCGCGGCATTCTGTATCCGTTGGAGTTTCATGATATGTGAATTCGGGAGGCCATGTAGTAGACTGTTACAATAATCTATTCTACTGGTTATAAAAGCATGAACTAATGATTCGGTGACTGAACGACTTAAATATTTCCTAATTCTACGCATGTTATAAATATAATAGAAAGCGGATGAGCAAGTTTTGCTGAAATGACTTAGCACACTCATTTTAGAATCAAACCGGGTTCCTAGGTTTCGAACTTCACAAGATGCAGCAATTTAACATCAGTACCTTATCGGTCGGGGACTCCTACTGACTTTCTGAAATTGTTGTCGCGTTCCAATCAGAAGACATTCTGTCTTATCGAAATTCAGTTTTAACTTATCCGAATGAATCCACTGACTGATATAAGTAGAAGTATATATGCATCCTTTGACTGATACAAGTAGAAGCATATAATCCCAGAGCGTCTGACTACACCTATAAATGCCCAGCAAAAGAAAAGAAAATAATGGGGGAAGAAAACGACAGAAGCCGCGGAAAGGAGAGGAAGCGAACTTAGGTAGGAGTCCGGCTTCTTCTCGGCTGACGTTCGCACTATCCAGTTCTGCAAAGCCTCGACACAAATAGACAGACTGAGGCTATGTTCATACTATACCGGAAGTCATACCGGACTGATAGGGCTTCTGTTCACAAATACGAACGGTGATTTTGGCGCCATTTCTGTAACTGCGCCGCGCCGATCTCGAAAGTGGTGCGTCATACATCGTACAGGTTTTGTCGGCCACATTTTGGTGTAGTGTGAAGGTACTTGGACCGTAGCGGAAGTAAATAAGTAAGAAAGAGGACTGGAACCCTTTTAGACGGAAGTAAATATTCAGGAGCGAGGATTGGGAATTAGAGAACCAAACCCTCTCGGCCAACCGTTCCTCTACGATGTTCGATGTCAGCGCGTGAACGACTTGTTCCAGTTCTGTACCGTTACTGTTCATACTATACCGATAGCTTTTCGTGTCTGCACGAAAGGCACGAAAAACTGTCTGGTATCGTATGAACATAGCGGCTGAATCTCAGAACAGACTTTCGCGGCCTTTTTTTTTAATTTTTGATAAAAAGTAGTCAGCAAGCATAAATCCATCAACATCGCTGGAAAGAGGGCCTTAAATAAGGTAACTTACCAAGTTTAAAGGTGACACTTCCAAAGCAACATGAAAGATATTGCTCCACAAACTCGCAAAATTTTACAGACGTTTGTATGGTGGGGGCACGAACTTACCCCCCAACCCCCCACCACCACCACCACCACCACCACCATACAAACGTCTGCAAAATTCTGCGACTTTGCGGAGATGTATCGCTTCGTTGGTTTTCAACACATCACTTTCAAACTTGGCAGCTTTAAGGCGTTCTTTCCAGCCACGTTGACGGATTTTCGCTAACTGGTCCCAGTGAAAAGTTGAAAAACCGTGAAAGGGTCTATTGTTTTACGCAGCAAAGTTTGGATTTAAAAATACTTATATCTTACATTGTCAACGACAACAATTCCCCCACTGCGCAACAGCTGCAGCGATTTCTCATAATACTGGTCATACTCCGTCTTGTCAGCGTCAATAAAAACCAGGTCGTAACTTCCACTCTCTCCTGCGTCTATCAGCTCATCTAAGGAAAGGTCACAAGATACTACTTATTTGCCATTCACCACTTAAAATCTATCATTCATGATTTGCAGCAATTGCCCTAGAAAGCGAGGCCAAGACCTAAGGTAATGACGAACTTTACGAGGAGATTCGAACAAGAACCGGTAGATATTTCACAGAAATTTTGATTAAAAAAAAGAAAAAATTAACAGCAACAACAAAGACAATAGTGCAGAAAAGGTATAACCAGCTACTCCGGATTTCAGTTTTGGTAAATATAATCCTTAGGGGAGGGGATGTCATATTTGGGGTTAGGGTTAGACCCTGTGGCACCCAAACACCTGTTAAGTGCCTCCCTCCCCTACCCTGGGAACGAAATTTCATGTTTTCTGCCGTATTTGTCCTAGAGGATTCTAAAACGCATGTATGAATTATAAGACTTGCTGTTTAATAAGTACCATGATTAGTGTAACCCATCTTTACATAACGGGCCTGTTAAACTGACAAGTAGACATATTTAAACCTAGCCTGCATAGCAGAGCCGGGGGAAGAAAGGGAAACGGGGAGGGGGAACGAGAGCTCTCTTATCCCTTTTGCTTTTGTCCCTCCCCCTTCCGGCCTTCTTTACACCTGCCACATAGGCTATTCAAAACAAGTCTGAAAGTCTAAAACGGCTGTAACTTTCATGTGTCTTATTTTAAGACGTTCACGATTTCGTTGGTTCTTAAAGTCTTTCCGACCAAATTCCACAACCCACTTACTAAGAAAGCTTAGAAATATAGGATCAAATTTTAGATGAAACTGCTTAGACTAATCAACAGTTTTAGCTCATAATTATAATGTCCCTTACCTAGAGTGGTGATCGCAGATTGTAGCCTCAAATCTATCTTCGATTCAACCCCTGCCTTTACAAATATGATTCACTGTTAGATTGGCTCTATACACCCCAGACAATCCCGAAATGAACTCAGTAAATTCAATACGGTCTTTTAAAGGTGTTTTGAAACAATTTTTCGGAGACCTTACCCATATTTGTCCCATCGCTAACAAACAAGTGTCTGTTTGTCAAAATGCAGTTTTTAAATTAAGACTGATATCACTATGACAACAATAGACGAAAAACTTTGAAATCGATAAAAGTCGAATTTTGCGCAATCTAGACCTGCTACTGAAAATCCGGCACCAGGAACTTTAAGTGTGATGTTTGGCAAATGACCTCCGTGAGAAGTAAAAAATTCTGTATGTTTGAATTCAAATAAAACGTAAATATATTTCAAACCTTATATTTCAATAGCGTTCATAAATTGCTTTAATAAAAAAGTTCTAAAAAACTCAAATTGATAATCTTAAGTGTCAGAATACTGCTTAATATCATATTTCGCCGCTGGGAAATTTTGGTGTATTTTCTCTCTCACGGTCCTGAAAACTAACCTGTTTTCTCATCACCTGTCTCAGTGCAACTTTATTCTAAATTTGACTTTTAGCGCTTTTCTGTATATCTCTCATCAAATAATCTTCATGATGTATAATAATGTAAGAAACTTTCATTAAGATTGATTCATTGCAACGCCTTGAATACACTGCCTTCTACATGTTTCTCAAAATCGTTATTAACAAATAAATAAATACAAAATATAAACTGACTGTGAGGGGTAACAGAAATTACTGGTGAACTAATAGTTTACGTTGTGCCACATAAATCAGTGATAAATAAGGACAGAAACCCTGGTAATTCAAACTCGAATAATTCAAATTCTCTCACTAATTTGAACTAAAAAAAGTCTCGTTTCCTTGGATTTCACTCCACGTTTCATTCATTTTTACTCATTAACTCGAGTAGCAATATGATTTTAACAGTGCAATGACAATGATTTTAAAAGGTCACAAGTTCTAATTTTGAGAGTGCCAAGATAACTTGTGGGAAGAGTATTTGCTTCCTGAGGATGGAACCTTAATTTCAGCCTTAAGACCTTTGGCCTTCAAAATATGTATTGCAACAAGATTCTGGTAGCAATTAATTTTAAACATACTTTATTTTTTAAGCAGTTTAAATTTTCTCAGACATGTGAAAACCTTCAAGTAAAGAAATAAACTGTTTGATAATTAAACTAACTAAACTAACTAATAATTGAAAAACTGACGAAACCATTAATTGTGCAATACACCAGCACATCACATTGAGAACCTCTACTAAGCTTCTTGTCATATCCACAATGTGTCAATGTAGTAGTACATGCATGGCGTACATGAATATGACCTGCTGCTGCTGCCCCTCAAAGACAATAAACATTTTCCTACCTCTTCAAAGTACTGCTGAGAATTAATCTGCATCAGATATTTGTCTGTTATGTCACAAGCCACAACTTTTCCTCCTGGGGGAAGCATCGTAGCCATGCTTAATGTGTTATAACCAGTATACACCCCTGTAAGTTACACAAATGTTGACAATGTAAACATAAAATACAGGTAAACATGTTTCTTTTTTCAACCTTACATGCATGCATTTCATTAGCTATGAATGGTCTGTCATACCTTTACATAAAAGGGTACAGATTTCACAAGTTGAAGTATATTAAAGGGTAAGAAAAACTGTCATTTCAGTCTGTAAAAGGAATTAAACAGATACTTTTTATGGCTGTGAAAAAGTCAACAAAACTTTCTGAATAAGTGATTATTTATTCATACTAGAAAGACGGTGTATTTAAAGCAGTTTAAAGGGATTTGCAGTGTTCTAAACCATGGAAGGTATGTGAAAGGTGTACCTTTTCTCTCAAAAATGGTATATAAAAAGGTGATGGGTTGGACCTTGGCGGAGCATCCCCGAAAACTTTGTTGAGCACTCCCTCCCCCTGAACCCAGAATAATTCACATCATCTGAGCTGTGCTTGACCAAACTAACTACCTGCACAAAATACTCTTCGCTTTTGAGGAGTTAAATTTTGTTAGAGCAGACAACTATAATTTGTACTGTTCACACTGAACTGACTTATGTGTACAATAATTGGTCCTACCTACTCATCTGAAATTCAAGTTCGGTCCTACCGCAATAATATTATTTCAAACAATATTTGCGTCAAAATATGGTCCATAGATCAGGAGCACAGGAAAAAATAGTCAATAAAGCACATACATGTGGGTAATGATTAAGGTGTGTGGGAGCTACTGCAATGTGTTCCACCTTTAAATCAAAAAGAAGAATGGCATCCAACACCAGAAAAAAAAAAAATCATTTGTTTTCTACCAAATCAGTATCTGCTCAGGGATGTCCCTAAGAGCGGGCTGCCGGCTAATTCCACCGGCTGAAAAAGACCCAAACACTGGCTCAAAAGGCCCTAGAAAACAAAACCATTGCAGCTTGACCAGCAAAAAAAATAAAAATGCCAGCTTGACCAACAAAAAAACCTGCTTGACTTTTCCTTAGCCACATCCTTGTCTGCTTGGCCTCATTTGCATTATTAAAGCAGCAGAATAATTTTAATGCAGTAATAGATAAGCACCCTTTATGAAGCAGCTAGGGCACAATAACTAGAAACAAAAAAGAAATGGGTGTTCATTTGACCTTTGACCTACAGTCTGCTCAGAGGTTCATATGAATTTTTGCATGGGGAGAGTTTGCTAAAACAAGGTGCAGGCATAAAGATAGTATATATTTCTAGATGAGTTGGTAGATTGGCATGTGTTTTTCAATAATATATGCTGTGACTACTTATTGTATTTGCATGCATAATTGACATTAATTGGTCTGGGGTTTTGGGTATTCAGGAGTCTGAAGTCTTTTTAGCCAGGTATACATGTACAGTATATTTTTGATGTCACAATACAGGTATTTTAAAAAGTATCTTGATTTTCCTGAATTTTTGGTGTTTGGTATTTAGACACCAATTTTTGTACACTTTTCCATTTATAAATGCACGTTGACACGGTGATTGAAATATGCTCACTAGAATATTTGCAATGGGCTGGTAAAAGAGGGAATATTGGAAAACGCTCGTGATCGACAGCAGTGGCCAGCAGAAGTTATTCACTGAATCTTTATCGCTCAATCACATGATAATATCATTTTTAGGGAAAAGGTACAGTTGACTCTCTCTTAATGAACACCTCTATAAAACGGACACCTCTGTAAAACGGACACACACAGTTAGTCCCTGCCTTTCTTTACTCCCTATATTTGACTCTCTATAAGATGGACACTTAGTACTGGTGCCAAAGGTGCATGTCTTAGAGACAGTTGACTGCATGCTGTTTAGTGATTTTATACAACCAGAGCTTCTCATATTTTGCGCAGTCATGGAGCCATGAAATTCTCAAAAAACATGCAAAAAAAGTAACGCAAAATTTAGAAGAAATCTTATCAAATTCGTGTCTGAATAACATATTTGAAACTTATCTCAGCTGTTGGGGCAGTTTACCTGCCGTAAACTTACAAATTTATCTTGAAAGTTCATCACTGAAACTTGCAAACAATGTCCCGAAACTACCAGGCGTAGATTATGTTGTGAAAAACTGGGCACTAGCCATGATGTTAAAGGCCTTGCCATTGGTTCATTTCTGGAGCGCATTGTTGTTGAAAGAGCAAATGATGACATCTCTTAGAAAAACGTTAAAAACGCTGGTCTCATCAGTGCAGACAGCCCTGAAAATAACCACAAAATCGGCCGTTTTTTAAGATTGCTTTTCGGTGAAGTTTGCCTCGAAAATTCCCACAATATTGCCATGAAATCGGCCAATTTTTCCCCAAATTTGTTCCTAAAATTCCCATGAAATTTGACTTTTTTCCCCATGACATATCAGAAGCCCTGTATAATCGATATCAAAGATGTTACAATTATTTTAAATATGTATATTACGACATGTATGTTGTGGTTCAATAATATTTTATCCTTGGTTTAAGTTTTATTTTCTTGTGTTTCAAACTCATTATCATGTTATTATCATACATTACCATACCTAAAAACAAAAGACAATAGAATTTGAACCAAGGATAAAATTGAACCACAATGTACATGTATTCTAGTTATGGGGAAAAATAGGGTACAGCTGTATATACTGGTATCTCACTACCCCCAACCAATAACCCCCAGACCAGGCCTGATTGGTGGATAGTACTTAAGCCTTCACTTGTTCATGTGTTTTTTACTCAATACATAAAACCTTTTAGACATGACACTAACTATAGTAACTGCATGCACTCCTGGTAGCCTTCATAGCAACACAAGTTCATACCCTGATTTATCTTACCTATTTCAATAACCTTCTTAGCTTTCAATAACTGCATAAATAGCCTCATAAGTTGTGATTCATCAGCACTACACATCATGCCTTCACGTCTTTCAGTTGAACGAGCAGTTGCCTGCAATATCAACATAGAGAGGACTTGCAATGTACTTTTTAATTTACTTTTTCACATATACCACAATTAAGTATAAAATGTTTTGCAACATATTTTATCATTTTCAATTCTTAATCATAAATTGTTTTTTTTAAAATTCTAATTGATTGAGAACATGTTTTCTAATTTCTTATTCCATAATAACACATGATATCTGAAGAAAAAACAAGGCACTGTGACATAATTATGCAATAATTCATCACAGAGCAGAAAGGAGGTGACACAATCACATTCCATTCCTCAAATAATACATTTCAATTGCAAAAACTCATTAAAATGATAATTCCTACTAATTTTCTTTGTTGGGGAAGTTATTTCCACAACTTGTGGTATTGCTTTCATCAGGTTTTCAAATGCTCAAAAGCAAAACGCTCCCCCTGCGGACTTGTCCTGGTTTCAAACGCTTTCACCCGTTTGGACTGTGCAACCTTCGCATATGTTTTTGAAACATAACATACAAATGACAAAAGAGCAGTAAAGGTGTTTTGCAGAACCCCAAATGGCCACCAAATGCCAAATGACTCTGGAGTTAAGTGATTAGGGTTAGGAAACTGAGTGAATCAAGTTTCAGGTTATTTTCCCCAGTATAATGACCCTAAATGGAACCTGATTCACTCAGTAGGTAAACACCAATCTCTAATCTTCATAGTCATTCGGCATTTGCTGTTCTTTGAGCATTCTGCAAACACCTCTGATGACAAAGAAGTTGAGTGAGCCAGAAACAGAGAAGTTCCTTTTGCAGAGGTCACTTTCCACAGATCACAATTACAGGTCTCTGATTCATTGATAGGTAACGATAAACCAAACAAATCCCCCTCGATCAAAAACAACATTTTGGTTAAGGATTAGGGTTTAAGATCAAGGAGACACTTTTGGTGATGCTAATTTAAGTGAAGCACGATGACATGTGGAATGGATTCTGTGGAATGTGACCAGTAAAAGGTATGTTGTGGTTCAATTTAGTTCAATCCCTTTGTTTTTGGTTATGGTAATCAGTGGTAATGTACGATAATCAGTCTAAAACAAAGGGAAACAAAATTTAAATCAAGGATAAAACTGAACCACAACATTTACATAAATTTGTACTGAAGGAAGTAGGTATAGCGTTCGATCATTCCCTTTTCTTCAATGTAAGTTTTGTTAGGCTTACAGAACTTGTAAAATCTCACCTCTCTAAGTTTCCTCAGCGGGGTGGGTTCTCGCATGCCATGTTCTAACAGATATTGCTTAACAACGTCATTGGTTTTCCGCTTGTTGTGAGAAAATATTTTCTTATACTGCCTACCTATAACATATCCAACAGCTACAGAGGATAGTGCAATCCCCACAGTGCCGAATAGTAACTTATTCTCACTGAAAAAAGACATTTAAGGTAAAAGAACGTGCTAATTCAAGTGATGAAACCTTGTCGGAGACTCAGCCTAGTCCCCAGGCGTTTTCGGCTCGGTCATTCCTGGACTCTACCATGAGCTGTGACGTCATCTAGAGATACAGGGCGCTTTCCATTTACGAAAAAAACCCGGAAATTTCGGTGGTAGCAAAATTGGAATTTCCGATTGGTAAAAAGTTGTTCCATTTGGTCGTAAACCCCGGTACGTGGCCGGGTGCCCGACCGTGGACTGAGGAACTGGTCAGAACCAGAGAAACGTCAATGGAACAAACCATTCCGTTCGGAACACGAATTGTTTATAAACGGGATTGATTAATTTTATAGTATTTTCATTTTTAGTGAAGAATTTTTTGGGGGGACGAACGGGACTTAAAACGTTTTCCATCTCTTCCGAACGAGAAGAAATATCTGGAAATTTTGACTAAATGGAAAGCGCCCACAGTTACAAGAGTTGAACAGTTCAACCGGAAGTGGACTTTTTGCAGCATTGGGCTGTGGTTTGGTTGAAACTCTTAGGTAAATCGTCTTTGTAGGAGAAAAGAAACTCAGCAATACAAATTTGTTAGTGTTCAGGAATATAAAAAGGGAGAAAAACTCAATTCCGGTTGACGTGCGTCGCTCAAAAACGTCTTTGCTTAAGCTCCCTAGTGTTATGCTTCGGATAAATGTCCGCCTTATCCTCAGAGAAGGGAGGAAATGCAACTTCAACTTCAACTTTATTTAACGCATTTATACATGGCGGACAGTAAATAAGCTCACGTTCACCGCCTTCTCTCCCTTCTTCGTTTGGTTAAAGCCATAGCCACAGGGAAAACAGTGATTGAAAGTATGCAGTCTTTAGGAATGGACAAGTTTCGACTGGCATTTACCCGATTTCTCGCTTTCTATTCTGACAATCCTTCTGGACTTTATGATGGCGAAACACCGGCGAAATGACAAGGTAAGGCAAGTTTCGCCACTCACCCCTCGACCGAACCTGAATGGCCTCCAAAACTTTTAACACGATTCAGTAGCTGAAGGATTGAACTACACAGTGATATGCAGGAAAGTCTGTAAGTGTGAGCCACTTTTGAGATTTAATCCACTGAATTTGGCTAAAATCGTATGTTTCGCTAAGTGGGTCAAAGGGGCTAAGTGTGTTTCCTCAGATTTTCTAAACGAAAAGGTGTTGCTGATTCTGACCTGTATTATTTTAAAGACTAAGGCTCAATTAAAATAACTAGTAAACTGGAAGCTTTGGGTTGCACTCTTTTATCCGGAACAATCGGTTGAATTTTGACAAAATTTGCATATTTCACAAGCATCTCAGGTCCTCATTTGGCGCCGAAAGAAAATTCGTGAAAAAAAAATTACAGGAGCGAATTTCTCCAATCTAGTTACATATTTGTTATATACTTATTAAAAGAAGTCTACAGAAAAATTATGAGCGAAATCCATTTTGTGGACAAAACTCGATATGAGGATCTTATTTTTGTATCTCTTCATATCGAGAAGATGTATCTGGCGGGGTAAACCACACGTCAATTATTGCAAAAGTGTTATGCTTCGGATAAATGCCCGCCTTATCCGCAGAGAAGGCAGGAAAATGCAACTTCAACTTCAACTTTATTTAACGCATTTATAGTAATTACAATAGACTGGCCCGCAAAATAGCAATTGCTAATCTAGGCGGCCCAGTTAAAAGAAGAATTTTTACAATAATTCTTATTTCTATCATAGTTTGCAGGCCTGTGTTGAACTACTTGATTCCGGTGTTGTGGTTTAACTTGTTGGGATTTCGGTCTGCTTCAGTATATATTTTCTTATTAATGCGTCTCTACAGGCAGTATAAACTGTATTAGCGGAGCGGCAAATGCTGTATACAGGGTCACAGTCGGGTCCAATCAACTCCCAGACATTCACTACGTCTGTTGCTTAACTCATAAGTTCTGTATCCAAACAGAAATATGATCCATCCCATAAAATATCAAAAAAGCGGAACAGGTTAAATCATTTGCACAATCATGCATAATCATACTGTCCAGAATAAATTGCAGATAAATAAGAGAACCAGATCAGACATACAAAATATGAGTAACAGATTTTAAAACACTCATTAAACATGAACCGCTTTTAGTTTTCAGCACCTGTAGTATTAGCAGCTTCTATTGGAATACTGCGCTAAAAATCCTTCATTCACTAGCAACTCACCATTAATTACGATAAAAAATTGCCGTTTATCTCGATGCTAGGTAACTGATCTAACCCTGACAAAAAAGTCAAATCCCAAAAAAGGGAAAAATGAAATAGTAAACAGATATCACCCAATAAATAATTTTTTTATTATTTCAAACAATAGAATTACATTGTTTATAAATTTTACTCCCTCTTCATGCCCAAGTGCAAAACAACTTTCTAATTTTAATTTCTAGTAGTAATAATTATAAGAAAGTGTTGTTTACGAAGTGATTTCCTTTAAGTTCGTCGTTTACCGGAAAACACTTTACAGAGACAAATGTCCCCCTTGATAATACACTCGACATGTACAACCCGGCAGCAGCGATAAATTGAAGAACAAACTGGAAGACGAAACTTCGCGGGTCTTGATAGTTTACTTTAAAAAGTGTCAGGGAAAGAAAATTATGTCTATTAAACGACACAATTTGCATACACAAATTTCTTGTTGCTACAGGGGTTTTTTCCATGGGAATTTAAATAAAATCGACAAATATATCATTCTATGACATCTACTAGCTAGCCTCATGATACTTTGATATGAAAATGTGAAAAATGTCTGTTCGAAAAAGCAGAAAAACGCCACTTTTTTTTTGCTAACTGGTTCTTTCTTACATGATACAGCTTTAACTCCACACTTCTCACACGGTACAGAACACTCTAAAGGTACTTGCATATTACAGAGACCAAATTCTTTGTTTTCATCTAACGTCCAGCTTATTGATCCAGATGGTAGACTAGTCATTGTTAAAATTAGGGAAGGCGAGGAGGATCTTTTCTTAGCCTCTGTTAAAAGTGACGTGCTGAATGCGGGATTTATGACCAACTATTTCCAAGTTTCTCGTGGCGTCTGTCAAGGGTGCCTTCTGAGCCCTCTATTGTTTGTTCTATCAGTTGAATTGTTAGCCCTCAAAATACGTCAAGATCAACTCTGCAGGGGCATTCCCCTTCCGGATGGACAAAATGCCAAGATTTCACAGTTCGCGGATGATACAACGCTAATTCTTGAAGATACCATATCTCTTAGAAAGGCTATGAATATAGTTAATTCTTTTGGAGCACTGTCTGAGTTGCAATTAAATAAAAAGAAAACTAAAGCCATGTGGATTGGTTCGTCAAGCAAAAACAAGTCAATGCCTATAGAATTCGAGTGCCCAAAAGAACCTATTAAATTTTTGGGTACCTTTGCTCTCCCACGACGCAGTTAGCAATAATAAAAATAATTTCTTTACTAAAATAAGGAAAATGGAAACCAATCTTAATATATGGTTGTCGCGTGATCTGACTCTCTTTGGAAGAACAATGCTTGCAAAATCTCTAGGTTTGTCTCAACTAGTTTACGCTGCTTCAATGCTCTCTGTCCCAGAAGCAGCGATTCAACAGACTCAGAGGAAACTATTTGCGTTTTTGTGGAAGAATAAGACCGATAAGGTAAAGAGACAGGTTTTGTTCCGTCCCTTATCTAAGGGCGGTTTAAATTTTCCTTGTTTTCGGACTGTCATTAAAGCGCTACGCCTCTGTTGGATAGGGAGACTTTTAAGTAATCCACATGACACTTGGACAGCAATTCCCAACTTTCACTTTGAAAAACATGGTGGACTCTTGTTTCTACTTAATTGCAACTACAGTGTCGAAAAGTTAGATAAGAAAATTCCCTTATTTTATAGGGAACTACTTGAATACTTTCAAGAATTGCGTAGCAACTGCGAAGATCCGATACAGCGCGAATTTATATTATGGAATAATAAATCGGTGTTTTGGAAGTCTTGGCGTGATAAAAATGTCTTGTTTGTGCAAGATCTGCTGAACAATCAAGGTAATTATCTATCCCGACAAGAATTCAGTAATAAATATAACATCGAGGTTAATTTTCTGCAATACTACCAAATCATTACAGCCATTTCAGCGTCCCGGCTCAAAAGTTACGCCTTCACTCATCTAGATCTCGGAAAACTGAACTCGATTTCTGAAAATGTCGACTTCCAGATATCTAAAGATGTTAGTTTAAACTTAAAGAAAACTTCGTGCAAGCAGTTTGACAAATTGTTTACAGAGAACATTAGTATTGAACCTACTGCCGTTACAACATGGCGAAAACATTGTACTGTGGTCGCTGACAAGTGGGAGCAAATTGAAAACAATTATAAAATCACTCGAGATAATAAGCTAAGACAATTTTATTTTAAATTGTTACAGAGAATACTAGTTACTAACAAGGAACTGACACGCTTTGGGATAACTGATTGTACTATGTGTGTTATGTGTGGCGAAAACGATTCTATAGAACATACTTTCTTTGAATGTCGCTCTTTTCTGAAATTATGTGACGAATCCCTTCAGTGGTTCAATATATCTCGCAAAACCATTTTAAACTCACGCCGCTTCAAGTTTTTCCCAATTTACCAACCCCAGCTTTCAATCTTTCTAATAAACAAACCAAGGATTTGTGTCTTCTTCTGTTATATGTAAAGCAGTACTACTATGGATGTAAATCAATGCAAAAGAAAACAGACACCTCTGAATTTATATCTAAATTTATTATGCAGCTTGAAATAGAAGTTTGACATGATAGTGCCACCCTCCTCTCAGCTTTATATGTATATTAATGTAATAAATTAGCTTTAATATGTGTAATCGATAGAAGTATTTTAATGGCCAATACAGGAACATTTATCTAAGTGCACAATTGTAAGTATTGTAACGTACTTTTGTTTAATAAATAAAATTTAAAAAAAATGAAAATAAATAAAAACTCCACACTAG